TTGTTCTATTTGCACAGACATGTTGCTAAACGAAGTAAAATGAACATAATTCAGCCGATAAAACCAAAACACGAAATATAGGCCAATCGAACTTACCTAACAGAAGACAAAGGATATATATATTGCTTTCCGACTGAAGATAACAAGTAGTTGTTCATAAAAACATAGTTTATAGTACAATAAACCTTTCTTCAGTAAAATCATGCACTGACAGTCGATCTGGAAACAATCAACTATGTGAATAAACTCACTAAGACTTGAGATATCATCCCAGCATGCAATGGACGTGCAGTGTAACGCAGTAGAACGTGGCGAATAAAAATATAAAAAAGATCAAAATTAGCTATATAATCTAGTTATTTAATTAAAAATACATTATGAAATGACAAAATCTGTGGTTACTTGAACGCACAGATGACCGGTACATTAAGTTTACATGGTTGCGTTGCGGATAAGATCACCCCGAGATACTGACAAACTCAATGAGTTCAAGATAGCTCTCAACAACAGGTTCCAAACCTTACAAGATCTACTGAAAGGAGAAACTACTATGGAGGAAAACTGGAAAGACAAGCCCTAACTTGGAATCCTGAAGAAAGGAGGAAAAAAGGAAGACCTAAGAACACATTACGTCGCATAATAGAAGCAGATATGAAAAAGATGAATAACAACTGGAAGGAGCTGGAAGGGATTACCCAGGACAGGTTTGGATGGAGAATGCTGGTGAGCGGCCTATGTTCCTTCACGAGGAGTAACATTCGTAAGTAAGTAAAACACCTGCAACCTCAAAGGACATTCGGAAGTGAACCTTAGCGTTTACTTGGTGTACCGGAAACTGCAGCACGTGAAAAAGATACTTTTCCCGGCCGGAATATAGTTTAGTCTTCCATACTGAGGGAAGCAGCTTTAATCTTGGCAATAATGCTTGGCATCATGTTCTCAAATTCACTAAGCTGCAGTATACTAATAGAAAATTGGAAGCCGACTCAAGGGATTTCGACGCGAAGAATTTTCAAGATATCGACTGGTGGCTCTTCTCTTCATACCGTTAAAACGTATGGTGTCCCTTGTTTACGACAGTCTACACGACTAATTACCACCCATAAACTTCTTTTCCCCCAACAGCAGGGTTTCAAAGAAGGTCACTCATGCATAACTAATCTGTTGACTGTAGCAGAAAAATGGACAACCATACTTGTTCTCAATGGGAAGGTTGACGTCATATACTTTGACTTCTACTGATAGGGTTGTAGTGACCTACATTCATCACGAGAATGCGATTGGTGTAATAGAAAGAATTATTATTATAACCAGTTGTACCAGGGATTGTTTTACCGTACATGTTTGTTTAACTGTACCGAAATACATGCTTTCTTCCGTTAATTGTGACCTTGCACTAATCCGGTTACCCTCAGTAACCACACTTGTAACGTGGCACGATCTCGGTATTCTTTCGATACCACGAGATCGCCAACAAAAACTTCTCGACTACAGTCATCAAATGAGTTCTGATATTTGGCCTACGGGTGATCTTATCGGTTAACTGGCACGTTGTCTTCTTGTAGTGGTGATCATAGTCAACCGAAACTCGACGTCACACTACAGAGTCAACTATACATATTTTATCAATAAACTCTGATCATCAGGTGTCAAATTACTTCTAGTCGGTTGGTTCACTTCGTATCGAAAAAGTCGATATTATGAGGTCAGGGTTGACTTCACTTTCTCTCATGCTATGCAGTGTTTCAGTGAGGTCCTTCAGTGCTCAGTAATGGGATCTCTTGTTTTCTTGATTCATATAAACGATCTTCCACAGCAGGGATCGTCATATTTACCGCATTTCATCGAGAATATGAAACTGCACAGAACAATGAAACCAAGAGTATAAACTGGCAGTTTTTGCAAAAATAATCTCGTTTTAGATGGTTCATGCAGCAACAACTATATAACAGTCTGAACTTTGGGATTTGTACCGAATCAAACAAATGAAAAGAAGTCCACGGCTTCAAGCACCTCGGAATTTGTTGCGTTACTACTACTACTACTATTACTACTACTATCACTATTACTATTATTTACTTAGCCGGGAGCATTGTGCAACACCACATCACCAATTTTTATGGCACATGTGCTTTGTCAATTTCAATAAGTTTCAATCACTACATTTCATATAAGTCGTTTTCTACCTCATGCTTCCAAACAACTTGTATGCACCGTTGGCCTGTAGGTATGAATGTAAACAACATTGAGTCTAGAGCATGTCTCAAGAATACACTCATGATTAACAAATGACTTTTAGCTATCTGTACAGAATGCATACAATTATTAAGAACTTTTGATAAACATTCGTATGTATTAGTAGTACCACTAAATTCCATCCCTGGATGCTAACTTTCTCATAGGTGTTTTCGGAGAAGGGCCAGGATTCAGCTCAAATTATGTTCTTCAGATTCAACTAAAAACATATTTCTGAACTTTCTTAATCATATTTTAGTCCTATAACGTTGATATACAGACAGGTCTATCATACGAATGCCCGAAGCTTGCTCGGCAGACGATCGGAGATGGGTTTACAGATTGACTCTATCAAGCCAGTTGTAGTCGTAGTCATAGAAACGTAGTCGGTGCAGTCTATATACAGGATGGAATTTGATTCTGAAGGTTTCATGCTAGTAAGTGTCAACAGAACCCAGAAGCATCAAAGAGGATATGCCTTATTAATTTGAACCACTATTTCATTTATCGTTATTGATAACGTATCTCATGAGAGTGGGACTTGTGAACTTATTAGTTGTCGATCGGAATGCAAAGGCGAAGCTATGAGGCAACTGAGGTCTTGACAAACAGTCTCAACACTCGGTTAAAAAGTAGTCGATGTATAATTTTAGGAGGCTCTAAAGCATCTAGGGTGGGCTGGAAAAATCTGAGAAATGGATTGTCAGAAAGTTTCTTCAAACAGGAACTAGTTGATGTGGTTGTAACACGTGCCGTAGTGCAACATGTTATAAAAGCAACTAGGTACGAACCGGGCTATGAATCATTCATACTAGATCTTATATTGCCTCGACCCTCAGTAAGTGTAGGTTGTTCGATGAAAAAAATGTTAAGGAATCTGTAGGGTGCCCTACACGCTTGTATTCGTGTATAAACCAAGGGACTAAAGAAAGAGGAAATATTCCATAACTATGAAAAGATAGTAATGCCTCATCATTATAGAGGACGACCATGGTTAAGCTCAAGTATTCTCAAACAACTTTAGAAGTGCTTATTCCGTAGACATACCCTGCCAACTTATACACCACCCATACACTGAGCACTGTGACCATAAAGAACTCGATGCCTGTGGCCTGCTAAAGAAGCTTGATATAGGAAAACTACGGCATCCGGTGAAATAGTCTAGGTTACTAAAGGAATTAGCACATTTCGTTGCGAACCACTTAAACATATGTTCCGTAACCCATGGTCGATTACGAAACGCCACAGTAAGTCTAGTCTTCACAACAGGAACGGAACATAAACCTGAAACTGACAGACCTGTTAGCCTAATTAGCGTGGTTAAAATTTCAGAAACTATTGTTCGGGAGGAGCTGTTTAAGTATCTTTACAAAAACCTGATTCTTTCTGAAAAGCAGCTTGGTTTTAAATAGATTATTCCTGTCTCACTAACTTATTAGTGGATTGCGAAACGTGATGTTCTCTTAAAGACCAAAAGTTAAATATAGACCTAGCCTACATTGAATTCAGCAAAGCGTTCGACAAAGGTCATCACAACCAGCTGTTATATAAGTTAAGAAATGTCGGCGTTGGAGGCAAACTATTAATGTGGATAGACGACTTTCTAATTGGACGCCAAAAATGTGTACGGATAAACTCGAGGTTACCTAACTAGAAAACTGTGCTTAGCTGAGTGCTTCGGGGCAAAATTTTGGAGTCAATGTTGTTCCTCATGTATGTGAATGATATTACAAGACTCTTATCATCACCAGATGTCTTATATACTATTATAATAAGATATAAAGAGTGATTTGAAGTGAAGGTGATAGTTTAGAGATTTGACGTAACTTGGTGAAATTATCCGAATGATTTGGAATTCGTCAGTTGCCGACAAATGCTTCCGAAACATCATGACGCATATTGATCACGGTAACTAACATTGAGCTCCCTGTTGTCCATACACACAATGAACTGGTAATCTTCGCTATCTGAGACTTAACTACTGCAGTGTCGTGTGATATCTGACGAGGGTTTTAGAACCTTATGGTTAATACGCTGAGCTTTTTTCCAGGTTGATGATATAATCGTTTCGAATTTATATAGAGAGTTCGTTCGTTCTAAACTCGAATACTGCATACAAGTGGCTGGCTTAACTTAAAAGACACAGTATGCTGTTGTAAAGGATTCAAAGAACCGCAAGTAATCTGGTTCCCAGATTGGTGAAGTTCTCATACGATGATGAATTAGCCTAATTAAACCCATTTCTGTTGTCATACGGAGTAACCAGAGGTGGCTTGATCATATTTTTAAATTACTTAATGATAAATTTGCATTTATATGCCCTCATTTTTCTTGTCTTCCAAGACAGCGAATTTAGGGGGACACTCAAAAGTAGTTCACAAACCCATGAAAACCTACTTGTTAGCTGAATGTCGACTTTCTCATCGAATTAGGGCACCTAGCCTATTGTCCTTTCGAAACTGAAACTGCCATGGTGATTTGTCACACCAACTGGTGCTCCTCTACAACAGCTTTGATTTTCGGAGTGATGAAAAGACTGCGGTTCCTACCAGTTTTATAAGTTAGTAATTTGGACTGATATGAATCGAACTTATAATTGGGTAGAAAATAATAGACATATCCAGGTATCATTACTGAACTGACGAAATATAATACAGATGACCTGCTAGAATGCCACCTACTGAACATAGACAAACATTCGTAACCGTGGCAGGATGAAATGAAATGAAAGCAAATATATTAATCGAATTAAACGAACGTGTTATAAATATATTGGATATTGGATAAGACATGTACGTTGCACTGGAATAACAAAATAAAGAGCAGTAATTAGATACGTGCGTTACCTTTTCTTGATGTGTTATTTTTCAACTCTTGCTGGTAGTTCTATGCTAATATGGCAAAGTGCAGTATTTCAGGAGAAAAATTCATTAACTTTGTGTTCAGCCCTTGCATCGGGTTGCTTGTTAGTCCTGATGTTAATGAACTGTGTCTGCGAGATAATCTGACGTTTGAGGAATTATTAAGGCCATTTAGCCAACTGTCTAAAGATGGTTCGTTCCTAATTTTTGCCTCAATAATATTTTTAGTAACGTTTAGAGACAACAACAACGTCATCCATTCTGTGAAAAATTTACAGCTAAAATTTTTTGATGTCAATTCATGTCTTTCTCCCAAACACATAACACAGTCTTGGGTGCGATACTTTGTTAACATTTGTTCTACAGATAATACTGTCAGGTCTCAGAAGTTTTGTGATGGAAGTCGGTCTGTAGTCGTTCCAAGTATGTCTTTTTATTCACAATACTTTAAATAAATTTCTCCGTTTGGTCGTAGTGTTTGCTTAGAAGTGCAATAAGCACGCCTAGTCACTTGTTTGACACCTAAGCTGTTCATATTATAGTTCAGTTGATCTGTTTGATTAACCTATTCCTACTATAGTGAATCAAATACTTCTCTTTTTGGATTCTCTTGTTCCTCCATATATTTGCAGTCTAATTTCCATTGGCCCACCTGAAACTAAGCAGCATTCATGGGGTGTCAAGTTTGTGAGGCAGCTTACGATAAGTGAATATACTGTTCACGAAAAATTGGGTTGTTTTTGTTGTGATACAATGCATTGCTGATCTCTTTTTTATAAGACTTATCTAAACCTATTTTTGGAATGCATAAAATAAAGCAGTCTTGAATTATTTTAGGAACTCGTCTCCAATTAAGTCATGTAACTTATCATCACTAAAAAACTATCACATTGTCTTCAAAACTTTAAATTACGATGATTAAAAGTATTTAATATGTCACTGCAAGACAATCTCAACTACATTATTGCTGACATTAATGAACAATTCTCCGTGGTATTGTCATTTAGGTCTTGATACCAATGGAGTGATAAACGTCGCATATTTTCCATAGTGTTGAATGAACGCAACCTGGGAATCTGGAGAGTTGTGCCGTAAACATGCATCAAGTGAGAGGATGTGACCATTTATGTGGGTTAAAGTAAAGCTATTTATCTTACAGTCTTGTAAGCGAGAGTATTTCACTGATGCTAACATCGCAGATGTAATTTGACGAAAGCCGATAGCCTATCTGTCACTTACCTCCTAGGAGTAGAGTATGTGTGGTTGATACTACTTTATTACAAATTGCTAGTTAATCTCTTCTGTGCTATCTGGTGTTAATTTTAAATTTTAAATACTTAAATCCTTACATATCAAAACCAGTACTTATAAATTTGCGTTAACTAAAACCGGATTCGTTTTTTGTCTACGTAGGCCTATCGTAATATTTGTATGATTTAGATTTCGTCATTTAAGTCTATTATTTATTTAAACACAAACATTGGAACAATAAGGCACCAAATACATATGCGCCACGCACATCAAATGATTTGTGTGAGGGCTGAGATACCTCCCGGGTACCCAAACCGAGGCAGATGCTTTTCTTGGGGAACCACTCCTCACGGTTATGACCCAGAAGTCTAAACCACAAGGCAATGGAGTGACATTAAAAGATGCAGTCGCATTGTAGCTGTTGACCAACCATTGGTTTATACGCCATTCGTTCCCTCAGGATCTTGGAGCCCATGTGCACCGTTGGTTTGGAATCAGGCTTTTCCAACTTCACCAAGTGGATGCTCTGTACCCACCAATCCGGTTAGTGCCGGATATTCGCTTTTCGTCCACTCATTTCCTAAATCGAACCGCCACAGAAAGGCAGTGATCAGGACGTCCCTGTGAGTGGCTGTATACGCGTGGTCATGTGAGTAATTCAAAAGAGAGGGGGGACTCTCCACACCCTCGACCGTACCAGGTCATTTTAGCCATTTTGTGAGGCTTCTTATATCCTTCGAAACTGTCACTCAGCAACATAATCTCACTAAAACAAGAAAGTATTCATCCATTGCTGTCTTTTCAAAGACACTTGGAACCTACTAAGTAAATGTTTCATAAAGTGGTTTGATCAGTTCACTGTTTTAACAGTCTTAAACTTGATTTTTGTTGAGGGTCCGTAGGAATTTTAAGACTAAGATACTGTAGAACCTTCATGCCGATACTGGTTCTTTTTTAAGATAGGGAAACGATTAAGAACTGATTGTTTTTGGAATATATATATAGTAGTGGTTTCACGCAGATATTTTCCATTCATTGAGTTGCTACGTTTTCATATTTTAGCACCAGAGGATGAATCGTGAAGATCCTCACCGAACTATCATACAAACTAGCATTTTTACAAATGTGTCCTTAATGTTCAGGTTTATTGGAGATTATTGTGTATCCTCCCAGTCCATGTTCTATTTCTAAAAGATTCAGTTAATGTAATATAGTCAGAGAATATTAGACAACAGAGAAAGTAACAATAGTACAAGAAACTTGTTGTTTTACTGACGGATTTCGATAGAAATTGATATTTATTGCGGTCTAGATCATTTTTGAAAAGGAATAACTTACGCCTCTTACCCTTTATGGAAGATAGGTCGCTGACCAGAAGTTTTCACCTTACTCTGTTCCGTTTTATCCGTTCTAGTTGTTATCAAGTGCTTTTCATACTCTTGATATTTACCTCTGATTCCTGGCATATTATGTTCTCGGTCTGCCTCTTTTCTTTCTACCTTGAGGATTCCAAGTAAGGGCTTATGATAAAGTTTGATGATTTGTACAGCGTATACCCTATCTATTTCCAACTTATTTTCCTAATTCCCTCTTCATCTGAAATCTGGTTTTCTCTGCCACGGTAGGTTATTGCTGACAGTGTCTGGTTAATGGATCTGATATATCTTGTGTAAACAGCTGTTTATAAATATCTTTGTCTTTTTTGATGATTATTTTGGTGGTTCTCCAAGTCTCAGTTTCGTGCAGTGGAATTATGTTGACGTTTGTGTTGGAAATTCTGACTTCTGGAATGCGCCGTTTGCTTTGGCAATCCTCACCTCTACATCTTCATCCGATCCTCCTCGTTCATTGTTGTTGCCCAGCTTCGCGAAAGTTCCGACCTCTTCTAGAGCTCCATGAAGTGCGGTTGGGTTGTTGTTCTCTGTGTTGTATTTGAGGATCTTGGTTTTTCCATTGTGTATGTTGAGACCTATTGATACAGAGGCTTCTGCCACACTATTTGTCTTCATCTGCATTTGTTATTGTGTATGGGATGATAGAGGAAGACCATGTGTGAAGTCCAAATCTTCCAGCTTCATCTAAGCTCTTCATCGTACTCTGTGCTTCCGCTTATATGTGATTCTAATAACCAAGTTAACCTCCGGAAGAAAGAGAAAGGCGAAAGTAAGCAACCTTGTCTGACACCGATCCTCACTTAAAATTTATCTGTGAGCTTCCCTTTATACACGGTTTTGCCGTGTAGTCTGTCGTAAGAATTACATTTAGGTGACAAACTTTTCATGTACACCATAGTGTCGAAGACGGTTCTATGAGGCTCAACTATCCACACTGTCAAACACGTTCTCATGATCAAGGAAGTTGATGTATTGTAATGATATCCATCCACTTGATTGTTCAACAATCACCCGTAGTGCTGCGATTTCGTCCGTACATGATCGGTCTTTAAGAAAGTCGATTGGTTGAACTCAGTGTTGGCTGTCTACCTAATCCTCCATTCTGTTCTGCAACACCTTGGAAGACTTTGCCGGTTATGGGTGGTATTTTGATGCCTCTGTAGTTTTCACATTTGCTGAAATCCTTCTTTAGTATCTTGATGAGGCATCCTTTCCAGTCTGTCGGCACTTGTTCTCCCAATTCTTCCTGAGTAGGACGTGGAGCATCTTTTCAGTTACTTATATATCTGACTTCAATGCTTCTCTTTGTATGCTGTTTGATCGGGTTGCTTTGTCATTTATGATTTGTCTGAAGTCTTCCTTAGACCTTATGAACATTTTACTGATGCCATTATAGTCATTCTGGTTCTCTGTTATGTGGTCTAGCGAAACATGTATAGCTTTGTGTATGCGTTTGTGAGGGAATATGATGCCATCTTTAACCATGTTGAAAGGACAGTGATCTACAAATATCCCACTATCTTTGTTTCTTTCCCCAAGTTCATGTTGTTCCATGTTATCTTCATACCCCGTGTTGTCTATTCCAAACTTGACGTTTAGTTCTGCTATTAATATGGCCAGATCCTTACCTGAGGATTTCGCTACGATCGACTAAAACCTCTCATAAAACTGGTTTTTATTGTTCCCACTGCTGCATCTCGCTGCGAGCATAGTACTAGATCACATTCATTGTAATGCTTTGTTTTGTAGGATGCTCTGATGGGCCTCATGACTTCTGAGGAACCTCGGCTTTCACCATGAGGCATCACAACTCTTCCAAATAAAGATCCTTAAATTCAGGGCACAACATAGATGGTTAAGATGATTTTTCTATGGTTAGTGTTTTTTTGCAAGATTTCTCTAAGAGACAGAGTTACTAACCCCCATGCTCAGTACTCATTTATCGGTGCTTAAGACCAGGAGTAACCCTAGAAGTGTAATGTATAATTTTTTTAGTCTTCGTGAGGAAGGCAATATGTGCATATTCGTCAGACAAACACAGTTATCTAATACTCGACATTTTCACTGATTCTTAAAAGGATGTTACTTTCTATAATATCACAGTTGAATTTCACATTTTTAATTTTCGCCACTAAAATATAACTTTCTTCAAATCATTCATTTCGTAAACATATGGGCAATTTTTATTACACAATTTATTTTTTAGCATCTCTTCCATGGTTTGAAGCATGGCGTTATCTGTTCATAACTAATTTACAGCCATTTGAACATGAATTTATCAGTCACAATCTAGCCTGTATATTTGTTTTGACAACTGCACATCCTGATCCGATTCGGGGTTTTACTGAACTAACTCAGAGACAGTCCAATCAACAACATCATCTTCCAGGAAGTCGTCCGTTTTGGTTTACAGAAAATGTGCTTAAATTTTATGTATTACTACATGATGGTTCGTCGAATATCAAACAAAGCTGGTTAGTCAGTACCTTAATACTTAATTTGTGTCTCCAAGCATTAACAAATCGGAGTACTTATACCGTACTAAGGGGCCTCAAAGTATTAAAGAATTTGGTAGACTTAATTACTAAACTTTTAGTTAATACCATTACATTGGCTTCGTAATTATTTCAAGAAGTATTTATGTGACCGATGCCGTTAGTGATATGAAAAATCTATTCGTATGTACATACGTATAAATATTCTGTGAGTGTTAACGATCGTTCACAAAGTCAACTGGTGGAATAGGTCATGCATTTTAATTCTATCAAATGAAGCTTTTAATTTAAATTCATTGAAGAAATTCAGGCCTTTCGTTCACTCACGTATTAATTGTAACTAATAAGAACAGAATTTAGCGATTGTCAAGTTTTCATTTGGGAATTGTTTGTTGAATTGAGTCAGTAGTTCTTATGATGCGTAAGAACGAGTGATATGAATTACTGTGTACCTGTTTTCCTACTTGTGGTAAGCCTCTATGAATTAGATAAAAATTATCCCAAGCACAATCCAACAACTATAATATGATTAGTATAGGTAGAACTTTAAAGTGTCTTCAATCTTGAAGGGACTTTTTGTTTTTAGATCAGTATGTGTAACTTTGATCGTTTTGTCGCTCGTGTACATAGGTGTAATATTGTTTAGATCCATTTTACTCTACATTTGGTAAGTTGCAAGGGCAGTGTTGTTGCCTAGGGAACGTAACAATCATGATAAAAGTAGTGTCATACTTGTATCTACTTTTTTGTACTTGCCAATCGTTTTTCAGCTATTAATAGTAATACTGATATAGCAAATGAATTAAAATATTTCCCTCTTTGTGGTATACCAAACGCTTTTGTGATAATACGGTAATAAGTCTAGACTGGGTGGCCGAATTTATACTGTCGCCAGATTGGATATTCGAATGATACACTATGCAGAGACCAGACCATGTTACATCAGATACCCGATTTACAACCAAAATATTGAACCGAAGCAAAACTAGACAATACATTATTCCACACCATTACAACCAGTCACTGTCAGTGAATTTGTAGTAAAAATCAATAAGAGGAAAGGAAACCACATATTTGATGGTCAATAAGCTGTATACCTGTTTATATACACTCAGTGACCAACTCAGAGACAAACTACTACGAACATTTCAAGTGACGGATCATATAGTCGAGGTTATCAGTATGGGGATAAACTCCACATTTTCAACTCATCTAAGTATATCGTAGTCAGTAATTATGCTTATTAGTATAGGGGTTGTGGAGATCATTAAGTTTTTGATTGAGATCATGAACCGATTGATGTTAGACCATCACAATTGACAACCTGGAAGCACTGGACGGCCGTTTCGTCCTACTGTGGGACTCCTCAGCAGTGCGCATCCACGATCCCGCGAGCGGGATTCGAAACGGCCGTCCAGTGCTTCCAGGTTTTCAATTGTGATGGTCTAACATCAATTGGTTCATGATCTCAATCAAAAACTTAATAATCTCCACAACCCCTATACTAGTAATCAACATGTGCTCACTAGTGACTAGCTTCGTGAGGGAATTCTCGGAGTTCTAGTGAGAAGCCGTGACCAGTGGAGCTAATCCTTGTCGGGTAGAGACAGGTATCTACCTCAGTACAATGGAAGTTGGTCGCGCAATTTCGTGGATTGGTTGATGTTAGAAACTATCACCATTGGATGCTGGCTCAGTGGTTCAGTTGGTTAAGCGTGCGCGCGCGAGACCGAAGGCCCTGGCTTCGAATCCTGCGAGTGGGACCGTGGATGCGCACTGCTGGGGAGTCCCACAGTAGGACGAAACGGCCGTCCAGTGCTTCCAGGTTTTCAATTGTGATGGTCTAACATCAATTGGTTCATGATCTCAATCAAAATTATGCTTATGTCTTCGTTTGTTTAGTCACTCATTTGTAGATATTTTGAAATAATTTCTGTTATAGAATTAACTGGAGGTATAACTTTTACTGTTGTAATTTTTCTTCCATCATGAATGACTCAGTCTGTCAGTCAGCTACACGTAGGACCAGACACATATATGCATCGGTTCATGTTGCCATACCTCATTAACACAACAAGATGAACACCGGATTCATAAAAGTAGTTCATTCAATGGTGGTAATATTTAAAAGAAAGATTGCATATGAGGATATAGTACAGGAAGAAAGAATTAGGTGGTAGAAAGAAAGATATAAAGCAATTTTAATCTCAGTTTAAAGGAAGACAGGGAGTGTATACACATAAGCCATTGTAATAGATTCTGAGCCATGTCACCCAGTCTCCAACCATTGGTCACGACAGTCACGCGGACCCCAACCAAGCAGTCTGCATTTACCAACATGACTCAGACTAGAAGTTAGTGACTTCAAGCACCGATGCCGCATTTTGGTTTGACCGCCCCTTACTGTCTTCCAGCCGTTCCCAACACTAGTCAGCATTGCGCGTCGTAGTAATCGGTGTTCAGGTATACGCAATACGTGGCCCAACTATCTTAGTCGAAGATTCACAACCTCATCAACTGATTTACCATCATCCCCTAATACCTTGAGTCTAACCTAACTATTACTTACCGGGTGATCCCAGCAGACGCTAGCAATATTTCTAAGGCATCTGTGGTCAAATACTAGTAGTTTACGAGTATCTTCTACTCTTAATGGCCATATTTCGCAGTAGTACAGTAGAACAGAACGAACTGCCGCGCAGTATACTCGTCCCTTAATTGACAGACGGATATCTCGCCTTCGCCATGCGTGACTTATGTTGGCAAAAGCCAAACGAGCTTTCTGAACAGGTGCAGAGACTTTGTCAGACACCGACCCATTAGGGTTGATTAGACTTCCAAGATAAGTGAAGTTGTCGACGCTTTCGACTACTTCACTCCCTATCCTTAGTTCAGGTGTTGACACAAGACAGTCCTGAAGCAACAATCTGCATTTAGAGGAGGAGAAGCGCATTCCAAACATTTTGGCATTGTTGTTTAGTACTACCAAAAGGTTCTGCATTTTATCAGCGTCTTCACCAAACAGGATTGTCATCTGCGTATTCCAAGTCGACAAGTGGACCTCCTAGAAGGAGACCAATGCCCGAGAATTCAGTCATCATGACTGACTTCGCTGCACTTGACATGTCCGCAACATAAAGTGGTATTTTTGTAGAAAACTGCATTCCTCATGTAAACCAGCAGAAACTACATAGAACGAAACACTCCTCTCCATCATGGATTACGATAGTGTACTCCTGGAGTTCTAGTGAGAAGCCGTTACCAGTGGAGTTCAACCGGTCTGTTGTGAGATAACAACTCACTGAAGACAATGGTGTACGGTGGCGCAACTTCGTGGATTGGTTGAAGTTAGAAATTAACACCGTTTGATGCCGTCTCAGTGGTCTAGTGGTTAAGTGCTCGTGCGCGGAGCCGGTAGGTCCTGGGTTCGAGCCCCGCGTGGTGCGGGATCGTGGATGCGCACTGCTGAGGAGTCCCGTACCAGGACGAAACGACCGTCCAGTGCTTCCAGGTTTTCAATGGTGGTCTAGCTTCAACTGACTCATGATTTCAACCTGTGGGATTTCTTAAACTCTCCACAAAACCCATTCTGATAATATCAATATGAGTATCCACATACCTTATTGGTCAAGCTAACTTAAGCATTCAGTATTTAGTTGGATCGTTCGTCAACAAGCCCATGTGCTTTACAGAATAATAAGAGCGTTCAATGAATTACATTATCTATTTGGTGTAAAGATAATGAAATCCATTATTCAATAACTACTTATAGGTGGTAATATTTAACTGTCGTAAGTATTTAGTTGTTCTAAATTGTTAGTATACTCTAATTGATGTTGTGACATCATTTTTTCTGTAAAACAAAACAATGAAAACAACTTGTTCAGTGTTGACGAAATATTCAGCCAAGTGAAAACTACGTTTGGCGCTCTCAATTGTCATTTATTAACCATCTTCACTTCATCGTCTGGAAGTGAAATTTTAAGTAATAACAGTTGCGTACCAAATCACTTATTATTTAACAACCATTATCAAGCTAATGGAATAATCAATCAACCGAACACACTATCTACTATCGTCCATGCATCAGAAAATGAACCACATTCCGATCCTTGGCTGCATCATTTGCTACCACATGGCTATAAACCCCAGCTGGATCATAAATTATTTCCACCCAGAGATGCACCGATAAAGTCATGTAATAATCAAATAATAAATGGAAACAACGATCCATTGACAGTTGAGGACTCTAGGGAAGCGTTTGGTCAATTATTTGGTAAGGAAACTGCAATTTTTGTATGATAATCGTAATTTCCCCATAGATTTTTGAATTTTGTTATCGAAGTCCTTGGTCGAATTATCTATGATTTCTTACTGGTGCTTCATTTGTCATTTTTCTCTTGATACTTTCATCTATCTGATTTCTACGTTTCTTGTATTTGATTTCTCACATGTACGAGTTTAATCCCTCGCGTGTTGCTTTCCTCTTTTGTACATTGCACTATAAAGTATGGCAACGTGAATTATTACATAGTTTTTCTAGGTTCAGTTTACATTTCTCCCATGGTTTTAGAGCACCCTAACTTCTCAGATTCGTGAACCATATGGAACCAGCGGTTTTCCATATCAGTGATAGAGTAAGTTAGAAGAAAGTTATGGTCGGTAGCCAAATTGAAACACATCAGTCCATGAAGTAATTGACTGTTGGTCTGTTCCACGTTGGCTGGTTCAGACTACCTACTTGGGGTCTGTGCAGTAGCAGGGACTAATGGTTCGAGACATTGAATATATTCTGTGTAATGCACTTAAAATCTGGTGCCATATGTTGAATACATTGTACAAAATAAAGAGATAATGTGGAAAAAATGATGATAAAGTTTGTACAATCGAAGAGAGGACAGAAAATAAATGTTCAAAAATTGTTGTGTAATAGAAGATACTGTTCAATTCGCAATACAACTGAGATGACTTTTGAGTTAGGAGAGTTTAACTTCCTATTTATGTAGACTGCAAAAGAAAACATCAGGTTCGCTACGGGCTTCTATCCCTAACCTAACGAGCCAATGAACTGCACTAACTCCATGATACTAAGCAGAGGATTAGTTACCGGTGTGACAATCACGATCGTTTATTAGTTGGTCAACACGAAACCCTGAATCTAGGTTTTCTTTACTTATTTATTTTATGAACATATGAGGACAGGTGAGAATAAGTATGCAGCACACAGTTAAAGAAACGAAATTATGAAAAGATGGACAATGAGAGAGAGAAGAGCATGATCGAAGATAAATAAGTAAAAATAAACAAACAAGAATAGTGTATAAGGAGTTACAGTTTAATTAAAATTTTCTTTTAATTACTTATCTGTAATTATTGGAGCATAACAGCTCCAATTTTCTCAATAAATAGTTGGAATTGGAATTGAAAACATAGTGAAAACCACCCAAATAAATTTTCTTGAATTGTGCTTTGCAGGAATTAACAATTGTGGTTTTGACTGTTATTTACAGGGTCTTCATACTTTGTGAATACTTTTTAATTAAAATTGCATTTGTTGGTTGTTTTTGGTTGTGGAATGCAATTTACTTGTTTCTTTTTTGGACTTATCATGTGGATCTGTCAGTTCTTTTATTCCTCATTGTGACGTGAGCACACTACTTGATAACCCATATTGTCATTCATTAGACTACTAAATTGTGATGACTGTGTTATGTTCTACCATTTTTATCGGGATAAAACTCTCTTAAGACAACATTAATTTTAAGGATAGTGATTGTTTTGGGATGGCTTCGTGAAGCACAAAGCCTTCAGAGGCTCTAAATGAGCCAAATATGTACCATTCGATCAACGTGGCATGGCATGTTTGGATAACTGCATAACTTTCCTACTTACAGATTGGCTGGATTGTAATGATGTTATAGCCCATACTAAAAACTATAAATACCCCTGTTTTTCTGTACTTTTTTGATCTTTACTCAATAATCAATTCCCCTGCTTCCTTACGTCTTTTGATTTGCGACTATTTAGGTTCTACACGTTCGAGTACCGATAGTTGTACACTGTATTCTGCTGTAATCGAGAAAATATAACGGTTAGGATGAATTGGAAATTTACTGAAATCCTTCTGTCTAAACCTTATATAAACCCTGAGGTTTTCACTACACCAACTTTTACTTGTCACTTTTGGAATGTTTTTGTTTCCTCCCAATTTTTGTTTTGCTTTACGACAAGGCGAGTGAAGTAATGTGTCCAAAGAATACTAGGCGATCGCAAATATAACAATGGATTTCGGTTCTTATTAAAGCTTGAGTCGACTGGTCTCTCATTTATTTCAGTCAAGTGTCTATATTCGTTTGATAAATTGATGACTGTTATGTTTGTTCTGATTCACTTGGTGTTTATTTCCTGTTTTTAGATCTTGGTAAAACATCATCTCTTGATACATCTTGTTTATCTGCTTCAAGCATTAGCTCCCAGTCCTCGTATACATTTTTACCCAGTCGTTATAGCCAACCACATGGACAACATTTAACACAAGCTGATCGGGATCGTATACACATGTTTGTTTATGATTTCAGTGTACGGGCTCTTCTCCCTTGGGTTGAGAAAACAATGCGTAGTCTAAACGATCAGGTGATTTTGTTCGTATCTTCTACATATTTATATATATTCATAAACATATTATTTAACCGATTCGCATAAAAGATATTTAGTCCTAAGGGCTTGGTTTTTTAAGGAAATGTGTCTTGGCACCATAATTAGAAATTAGAGACCATTGAGTCTTTGTCTTCTCACATAAAGCAGTACGGGATTAAACCCAAGTCTTTTAAGCCTCGTGATACAGTTTACTCCATTCTTACGAAAATTCCGCAATACATGATTAACAGTTTCTGTGAATTTCTGACATAACGTAAACAACTTGATTGACATTATCCATCCCAAGGTAAATATTAAAACCGGATTATTATGCTTTTAGACATAAGGAAATATCTGGGAATTGAGTAAATTTACTCATTATTACATTTCTAGTCATATATTAGTATTTTAGTACATTAATACCTTACAGTAACGGACCTTGTTTATCCATCATAATGGTTTATTGTAGTCAAACTATGAGAATCGCTTGTATATTTTCAGTTTGCTTTCGTACGACTATTCATCAGAAAAATACAAATTCGGAGACAACTGAAAAACAGTTTTTATATGAAGTTTCGTTAAAAATGATATATTTCTATGGGGCAGTGTGGACTAAGAAGTGTATGAAGATAAATTCTACAAATAGAGGGTAATGTCGTAAGTTATGCAATACAAAATACGAAAAAGTTGGTAAACTGTATAAAGCTTGGAAAAAAAAATTAAAATTGGGGTTTTAAGAAAAATGACGTTACAAAATCAATTCATGAAGTTATGGCTACAAGATTGACAACGTTCTCCTTTTGGTTACATCTTTTGAGGCGATCGGTTTTAAGATTCTCCTGCCCATGTTGATTTTTAGATGATAGTTGTAAATTGAATTGATGCACACTTTTGAAAAAAAACTAACCAGGATAACGATACGTAGTTAGGTACTGTCCAAAGAATTTTTTTCTAAGCCTTCCTATACAAAATGATTCGCTTGTTAACATGGTCAATTATAGATGAATCACCAGTTTATTCTATTTTACTACTATAAACTTGTCTGCTCATTTACATATACGTTCCAAAAGCACAAGAATAGAAACGAGATTTCTTTTTCACATTAATTACATTTTATTAAGTTGAGACAGGTTTTAGACAGTGCAATCGCTCTCTATTTACTTGTTAATGGAGAAAATATTGATTTCTCAGAACTTTACACAATAATTAGTAACCAAATGACTTCAATTATGCTAAGATTCACCGAATTCAATTTTCTTTTTTAGGATATTCATACAGCTAACATATAAAGGGACAACTTTATTAAAGATAATTTAATTCTTGTACAATTGTCTTTCTATTATTTGTTTATTTTTAATGATCATTACTATTGTTTCAGGGTTTTAAGTAGCTAAAGAATATCTAAGATATAAAATAAATTCATATTGTTCTGCCTAGATTATTGTTACTTTCATCTTAGTTTAAGAGCTATTGATCGCATTTATCGTGAGTACATCAACCACAAAGTCTACATAGTCAAGCTTAACAGGTGCAGATGTCATTTTGTCTGTTATGTCTATCGTCACGGTCGTTTGGTCATAGAGTAAATCAAGGTTTCGTTTATTTTAGTTACATTTATTATCGGTTTCTGTTATAACCCACAAAACCGTCTCGTAGTATTCATCTCTATTTTTCCATCTCTTTTATATTCGCCATCACCACCGCTCATCAAGTAGATGATTTATTAGTTTATTTCTATGTTGTCTTCTGTTCTCATAGTGTTCCGGCAGCTTCTGAGATCTAGTCTTTATTTGAACTTTTGATCTGAGTTACGGGGGAAATATCAGTGCTGGATGTCCTAAACTAATTATAAGTGAATTCTTACGATTTGCTATGCGCTTATGTAGTTGTTTCTGAAATGTGATTTTTCTTTTTCATCCCAAAGTAGAACTCCAAAAGATCTTCCTATTGTGATTTCTCTTCATCCGTTAAAGCACAAACAAACACATCTTATTACTAGAGCTTTGACAAAGTCCAAATATGTACTTTCGGAGAATCAGGAGTCTTTTATCTAACCTAAAAGTGATATGATTTATTTCTGTCCATCATGTATTTATCTTTCTTGATTTTATACTGTCTTGTTAAATCTAAAGCCACACAACCTGTTGTTTGTTACAATTCAATTCGATAGTACCCTAAAAATTAGCATTACATCTCCAAATACAAGATAACGAGAAGTTTCAGTCAAGTTTTTAGATACATAAGGGGTAAATCGTGCTAGTTCAATATTTTGACTAGGTGAGATAAGGTGAATGATTATATATGGATCTTGTATTTAAGTTTTGGAGATACAGTACAAAATGTGAGTCATTTTCATGGGGAAAAATTCTTAACACAATCAATTTGATATCTTCATGCTTACAAAAGTTATTCGAAAATAATGAAAAGAAATGAAGCTTTAATTGATGCGGATCGACATTCTAAATCAGTGAGTAAACAGTTGAGTAAATCAATATCATAAAAACGTAATCAGTTACTCAACTTTAGAAAAGTAGCGTTTGTAAGTTTGTTGTTCAAATTCTAAAACAATACAAATGTTCCTTCAGTTGAATGATAAGATTTTTGATATGTAGCATGAAGTATCTCAATAATCGTGAGGAACATAAAACTGCCACTCGTTATGAAATTTCAATGAAAAAAGTGACTAGAATTCCAGTTTAGTGTTCATCTTCAAAAAACATGGCGTAAACAAATCATTAACCACAAAACAGCTACGTACTACAATGCCAATATAATATAAGTTTATACTTTGTATATCAATTCTATTTGTAGATTGCGCATCGAATGCGTCTTTCGCGTTCTTTCTTTAACGCCACTAAGAAATTTTTTACTCAAGCTGTTGGTGGTGGTGGCAGCAACAACACTACAGTTAATACTACAAATAACTTAACAACTTCAAAAATATATCCTAATCCATCGCCTATCGAAACGTCGGCGAACTATATAAGTAATCCGTGTAGCCCAATAAATCCTACTATTGTAAATAATTCGAAGGGAGAATTATCTTCCAACACTATATTGACTCCTCAAAGTGTTTCATATGCAGCCCCAGCCAATCACTCTACAATTGTGTATAGCCAAGATTCACCTGAATCTCAAATGCGTCGTCTAGCTGATTTAGCATTTCTGTTTCAGCAATATGAAGTAGCCTATCAGACGTATAATGTATTAAAACGTGATTTTCAAAATGATTCAGCTTGGTTACATTATGCTGGAGCTCAGGTGATTTGTGTTAATTATTTTTTTGTCTTTTTTTGAAGCAAAATCAATAAACTCGATAAATCTCAGCGTTGTGTAATTTCTTGAAGTGTATTCCATCCGACTCCCTTTTAGCTAAGTATCATCAAAGTTTTACATCGTGTATCATTTATCCGTTGTCCGAAACTTTTGAATATGACAAATCAACAATATGTTTGACGTATTATTATTATTATTTCAACACATAGATATTGGTACAAAGAGGCACCAAATACATATGCGCCACACAACTCTCATTCGATATGTATGAGGGCTGTGATACTGATCGGATGCCCAAACCAAAGCAGGTGGTTTTCTTAGAGGGCCACTCCCCGAGCTTTCGACCTGAAGATCTGATCCACAAGGCAGTGGAGCATCGTCAGGAGATGCAGTCCTATGGAGGCCGGTGACCAATAGGTTAATACGCCATTTGTTCCTTCAGGATACTGGAGCCCATGTGCACCATTGGTTTGGAATCCGGTTAAAGTGCCGGACATTCGCTTTTCGTTTTGTCATTTTCGTAAACAACATGCGTGGTGCGAGAAGGCAGTGAGTAGGACTTCCCTGGCAGAGGCTATATACGCGTGGCCATGTGAGAGCATTTTGAGAGGGAGAGCGGACTCTCCTCACTCTCGGCCGTACCAGGGCATTAGGGGGCTTTGATGTATCTCTGTAATAATCGCTTATTTATAAAGACAATAATAACAAATCGACCGCCTTATTTGATAAAGAATAATCTTCTACCCAATATCTAATCTGACGGAATACTAAAACTTTACCATCGCTATTTACCCCATAATTCTGTTTACTAGCTTTCACTCCTATGCGAATTGAGGTAATCACAAGCTTCAACAGAATGTTGTGTTGTTAATCGTATTAAACGTTGTTATAAGTGGACGTAAATTATCGTCCAACACTGGGTTGCGTTCTTGGAGTGATTATAGGACTTTGAAAATGACTCGAGAAAACCCAGAGGTGGTACTTACCTTTTCGAGTTACCATGACTTCCCCTGAATTATAATACTCATTGAGCTATACTGCTCAATTATAATAAGTAGTGTGGGTTATTTCTGACCTTTTTTTGAAACATATGTTTTACTGAATAAAGTTACGTTTATTCACCTTATTTCAGATCGTTTAGCCGGCTTTGTTAACCTGTAATTGTCTATCTCCCATCTCTCAAAGATACTTCTTTGAAGAGTTTGTATATTTAGAATACTTTTTCTTTTCACAGGTTTTTAAATCATGAGTCAGTTGAAGCTAGACCACCATTGAAAACCTGGAAGCACTGGACGGCCGCTTCGTCATGGTATGGGACCCCTCAGCAGTGCGCATCCACGATCCCGCACCACGCGGGGCTCGAACCCAGGACCTACTGGCTTCGCGCGCAAGCACTTAACCATTAGACCACTGAGCCGGCATCCAACGGTGTTAATGTCTAACTTGAACCAATCCACGAAGTTGCGCCACCGTACACCATTGTCTTCAGTGAGTTGTTATCTCACAACAGACCTGGTTGAACTCCACTGGTAACGGCTTCTCACTAGAACTCCAGGAGTTTTTCTTCAAGTCAGTCACTAGTGAGCAGTTGATTATTATTATCAGAATGGGTTTTGTGGAGAATTTAAGAAATTTCACAGGTTTTTAAATCATGAGTCAGTTGAAGCGCTCATATTCACGAAAAATAATTCTGTGATTTTTTTATTATTTTCTTTTACTGGGAATTTTGAGTTTTCGATCCCACAACGTTCTCCCGTCGTTTGTGAATAAATTCGTTATGTTTCATTATACTTCCACGGTAGTACCGTACATAAAGAATTTTCACTTATTTAGGTTCTTGGAATTTTTGCGTTTAACACAACATTATAAAAACTGGAAGCTTAGTTAGTTCTAGGATTTTTGTAGTGTATAAAAAATTGACGATCGGATACATCTGAGCCACTATGACAAACCTTGAAGCGGAACTCTATGAGTCTTTTGTCACTAAGTCTGATCGTTTCGTGGATTCTAATCAAATAGTTTATTTTCATAAATAGTTGCTTAGTTTGAAATCATGTACTGATCCTCAAATTATCACCTAACAAACTCTTACTTCAACCAACGTACCACCTTTGAGTATGTGAATTATGAACTAGTAAAACATTGTCATATACATTCTCCCTCGTGACAGTTTAGAAATTAAATTAAGTCATTATTAACTTATGCAACTGCGTCATTACTCTTCTAGTACTGCTATGACATTCCCGTGGTGCTCTGACGATATCCGCTACCTGTTTTCATACTTTTAAATAAGTGAATACGGTTTTCGATCTTTCATAGTTTGTTTATTTCTGTCTGTTTAACCTTCTAGGAAATGTCTGCGTTATCTGTTTATCTTCAAGGTGCAACAAGCCAACGTCAGTATCCATATCATTTCATGGATTCAGCTGTAACTACTTATCTTCAATCTCATTTGTAAGTTTTAATTGACTTCCTCAAATATTTTGATGTATTCCTATCGTAATTTCATAACAGCAAATCAATAAGCTAAGTATCTTTTATTTTACAGAGATTTATTTATTATATGAATATTGAAAATTCATTTTGTTTTTGTGAAAATATAAAGAAACTTTATTGAAAGACAAATCTGAAACTCAATGGTTGGAAGTTGAGTATTGGAATTTTTTCATATAAGACATAGGTGTATCACAGAGTAATCTAGACCATGTTATATGCTTAAAATAGTTTTATGTCGTAGATTAGTTTAAGATTTAGAATCACTGAAAGTAGGAAGAGTGGTGTATGTAGTTTCAAACCACTTGTATTCGGTAGCAAATCTTATTACTCCAAGGATTTTTACCTTAGTGGTTGTGACTATATGGCTCGCAGCAGGAATTATTTTACCACAATAAAGATGATTAGTCAGAAAACTAATGAATGGTAATAATGATTATGTGGAGTTTACAGTTTACCAATAGTTTTTGCTTATCACAACCATTTGACTTCGTGATTTCAATTTAATCGACTAAGCTGTCCTTTGTATTTTATGTTATTGATTTGGTCAGGCAAAAACTCAGTAAGATATTTATATTGTCACTTCAACTCTCGACAAAGTTAAAAGCGCTTTCAATAGAAGCAAGAGGTTCGGCTTGTTAATTAGTTCTTTTCAAGTGGACATTTATTTGATGTATGAACGGTGTGTTTCGCCCTATTTAAGACTCAAGGCAATCAGCACAGGATGCGAATGTCTCGAAAGAGACTTATCAATTGCAGTACTATAGCTCAATAGGGAGATTTAAGCTACTGATATAAATGAATTAATTCCAAGTTAGTTTATTCATCACATATAGAGTGAATGACGACGTTATCCCATGCTAAAAATCTGGCTATCATATTATCAATGTTCAAATATTTCTTTTAGGTATTTCGTATATATATATATATATATATATATATATATATATATATATATATATATATATATATATATATATATATATATATATATATATATATATATATATATATATATATATATATATATATATATATATATATAATTTTGTTATATGTATGTATATTCAGATCACCAGAACTTGCTTTACGATCAACTCTGTTAAATTTTGAAGCATTATGTAGTCGTGGTCTCTATAATGAAGCTTCTGTGGCATTGATTCGACTAACTTCAGACGTAAGTGGCAATAATTTAGAAATTGAGTAAATAATTATTTCATAAATAATCCATCTGTATTTTTCTGATCTGTGCTTGATCCGAAAACAGCAAACTTTCATGAATAAACAATGTTTTTCCAGTAAACGTTTTCATGAAAAACTCTTAGCTGTTGAAATGCTGTTAAATTCTGTGTATCTTATTGTACTTAGGGTCGAGTTGTTAAACTATATGCATTTAGAAAAGTGAAAAATATTATTAAAAAAATGATTTACTGTTGAATATTAGTGCTGTTAGTGGGACATAGACTGGATTAAAGCATGCTCAATGCATGATTGCTCTGGTGCACGCTGATTGGCTAATTCTTATCCAATCAGCACTAGTCGATAGTTGGCGAATACTCTAGAATCTTCTCATGTAAAAACTATAAATATACTGACGTGTTCTCTATTGTTGCTTCCTACTGGCTTCTGGCTTGCATCTTGCTTCCATCTAACCTTGTTATTTGGAATATAACCTCTTTCCTGTTCAACCGTGTTCTGATTTGGGGTCTTGTCGAGTGAATCGGTGTCGAAGAATACTAAGCAATAGGAATAGCTGGGTTATACTGTAAGAAAGAGATTATAACAAGTGCCTTGTGGTGCGTGATTATCATCAGTTAGTTATCTCAACCATCTGATACAATGTTGACTTTTTAATTTACAAATCGATTTACTTTATAAAAAATATCAAACGTCAACATTTTCCATTCAGTAATTATGATATGAAAGTTCTATTGTGAAACATTTCTGATGATTGAGGGTTTTGACATACATCTAACCAAGTACAATCTATGCTAATCTGATTCTTAAGCGGGGTCGACAAAGGTGATATATGAAAGTTATCATCTGATAACAATATCACCATTCATCCCTATTGAAGTGAAATGAATTCTTATGTCTGTAACTGGTGAGCATCAAATAACTGAGTGTGATGTTCGGGCGTTCTTACAAATCGCTTCTACTGTGTATGTCTTTGTTTTAAATATATCGTATCTACTAAGATGTAAATAGAAAGACATCCCCACAACAACTGCGTTTTGTAGGCAAGGGATTTCTACTAAATAAAACTAACTGACTAGCCCATCATAAATTTATGTGATTTCGTTGTATTTTTTGAGTAGAATTTCGTTATAATTGATCGATAAATTAATTAAAATTTTGTCTCGGTATAAAAATGGAACTCTTGGTTTCCTGCGTCGAATAGTGGAACGATCGTGTTACGTATACGATCAAAATTCATTGACTAACCTACCACACGTAAACTGAATTCAGATCAAGCACATTTTATTTCTCTGAGTTTTATCTGTATTATTGTATTATGACGAATGGAGATGACGGGAAAATATGAATGATAAGTCAGTGCTTCCAGGTTTTCAATGGTGATCTAACATCAATCAGTTCATGATCTCAATCAAAAACTTAACATTCTTCATAATCCCTAAACCGAAAAAGCAAAATAGTTTCATTTTTTATAAGATGACTGAAGCTTGTGTTTAAGGTAGTAATTCTGCGGAGAGGATGTAACAGGTTCTTTATAATTTATGTATTGTTATATTTTTTGGTGGCCTGGAATACTACCCGGGCACCCAAACTGAAGCTTTTCACTTTCTTAGAGGGTCATCGTCCTAGCTTCTAACCTAAATTTCTATTCACGAAGCACTTGAGGAAATCAGAGGATTCAATCCTATTTTATCCGATTATCAAAATAGGTTCTTATGGTGCTCGTTTTCTAAATCCTCCAAGACTATCCTTCTGTATCCTTAACCTCAGTTTAAGTGCCAGACATTTGCTTTCCATGCTTTAATTTTCGAAACAACACTGACACTGCGTGAATGAGGTGAGCAGGACTCCTCTGGTATAACATGTTTGACATAATCGCGAATCAATCGCAATGGCGCCAGTACATTCACTCCTTTTCTTCGTTTAGATCTTGAATTTTAGCATTCCTCCATTCATTTATTTCTGTTCACTCTAACTACATTCTAAATCTTTAGTCTTTCTCATTGTCATTGCTACTATCTCATTTCGATTTCTTCGCTATTCATCTTGTGCTGTTGAGTACAACAACTTGATCTAGCGCGAATTCGCTTCACCATCTACATCGAAAATGACTGACTAAGGTAAACTTGTTCATAGGGAGAATTTCGAAGATATGTGTTGTTAATTGTATCTGTTGTTTACCCATTAAAGGGGGAAGCTCCAAAGAGTTCGTGTTTGCCGAAACTTTTCTTTGCTTTTTGTGCATACATATAATAACTAAATGTAACGGATTATAACATCTTCCATTTTTCATAGTTTACTCCGAATATGGTAGTTTTCATGTGTACTTGTAGTATCATTGTCCTCTTGTTTTGTATGAAATATGAAGTGATATCCATCATTTCTTCAATGTAATTATTTTATTTATACGATTGGTGCTCATTGAAACTGTTTTTCAGCCCCCAATTTTTACTCAGTATTTCTTTGTGCAAATCTCCCATGTGATTATTTTCTATTCGCCTAACTATTGAGAGATTAGTTTCCTATCTAAATGCAAACAATATAGCTTTATAAATTATCTGACAATACTGTTTTCTGTGTGTTGTGAGATAGAATGTAAGATTGTGTTTTTATATATCTATCTCTTTTTACATCTATAATGGTCTTTCAAGATTGATTAGAAAGACTTAGTAAATTAAGTGGTTTGCTAAAAGTACCCGTCTTTTGTTTAAATCAGTACTCTCTCCCAGCTTACGATAAGTTAGGATCGTAATGGTTTAACTATAGGGTCATAGGTAAATATTTTACGTTTTCATGCTCACGTGCATATTAAATCACTGAAAGACAGCAACCATTGTCTGAGTTGTTGTTATTAACGCTTTGTATTACTAAGTTGTACCGTTGTATGGTTAGTTGACTTTCTTTATTGAACATTCATCCTTTTTTTAATTATCAGCACTTTCAGTATTGCTATGATGTAATTCTATTTTATTTAGGAAGATGATCTTATCAGCGGTCTCCTCATAGAACAAATAGCTCATTGTGTTCTATCACTGAAACGTCCAATGTTAAGAAAGTTTGCATTTCGTATGGCATTAGCAGCACATCGATATGCCCGGGCCAAACAGGTTATATATTATATTTCTGTTATGATTGTATTGTACAAATTAAATTTTTTTCTTATATTACTGGTTACATCTTATGACTAACACGTGATATTCCGTATTTGGTTGCCAGCTACAGTGAGGAGTTGTAATCTTTCTTCTTTCCATTTAAGCTACATAACTGAAAAAAACATCATAGACCACTGTCGATTTTGCTAAAAGGTTAATTATTCCATGTTTTATTCAGTTATGAATTACATTCATTTTTCCATTCCAATAATCACCATAGTTACCAGAAATATTATTGCCTTTACGGCACTTTACAGTAAGTATGAAGCTAACTACTTTATTTTTTACTTTTAATTGTTCGTCATTTGGTCACTAGTTTGATCAACATTTAGCTTACTACATTTCGTATAGGCGGATTTGGTATGTATCAGTTCATTGACTGTCTAAATGACTTACTCCTGTTACCTCTCGTGAAGCAGTATAGACCGCCCACAGTAGGCTGTTGTTAATGATGTCTAGTCAGCGGAAACTGAGTATCTTGCGTCTACAATTACTTTTGGTTGTGGTTGTGGTAGTTATTTAAGTATCAGCTCCATACAGTAGAACTGTCTTGATGTTCGTATTGAAGATTCTCACTTTGACATTGGTTCACAATTTTTTTTAGTCCCATATACTCTTCAACTGTAGGAATATTGTCCTTGCTTTGCCAATCCTCACATTTTCGTCTACATCGGATCCTCTTTGTCCATCGATGACCTTGTCTCGGTATGTGGAGGTTTCCACCTGTTTCTGAGCTACCCCATGAAGTGTGATTGAGTTGGTTTTCTTCGTGTTGCGTTTGAGGATCTTGGTTTTCCCTTTGTGTATATTGAGACCTACTGATGCAGAGGCTTCTGCTACACTAGTTGTCTTCGTCTTCATTTGTTTGTGTGTATGAGATAGAAGTGGAAGGCCATGTGCGAATTCCAAATCTTTCAGTTGCATCCACACTGTCCATTGTATTCCTTACTTCCTCTGACTTTTAGAGGTATTTATAATCCAGTCAACCCCCAGAAAGCTAAAAGGAGAGAGTAAGCAACCAGTCTTCAGTAGGAATGCGTCTGTCAGCTCTCATCCATGCTGGACGTTGTACTGTATTCCATCATATGAATTCCGGATGTTAATGGTTTTCTCAGTCACAAATTCCATTGTTTCTGTAAAGGTCCCGTAATGTCATCCTATCCACACTATCAGATGCTTTCTCATAATCAAGGGAGTTGATGCATACTGATGAATTCCATTCAGTTGGTTGCTCGACAATAACGCGTAGTGTCGCCATTCGGTCTGTGCGCAACAGGTCATTACGGCATCTAGCCTGTTGATCTCGAAGCTGAGCGTCTACTGAATCTTTCATCCGGTTCAACAACACTTTGTTGAAAACCTTTCCTGGTACCGATAGTAGTGCGATGCCTCTATAGTTTTCACATTTCCTCAGATTTCCCTCCTTTGGTATCTTGATGAGTTATCCTTCTTTCCAGTCCGTCGCATTTGTTCTTCCTCCCAAATCTTCGCGAACAGAACGTGGAGCATCTTCGCAGTTGCTTTTATGTGTGACTTCAGTGCTATGGCTTGTATATTGTTAGGTCCTGCTGCTTCCCCACTCCTGATTTGTCTGATGTCCATCCTAATATCTTCGATCGTTGGTGGAGTGATAGCTATAAGAAGGTCTGTGTATGCTGCTTCGATGTCCAGTAGATTAAATGGAGCTAGTCTATTCAAGAGTTCTTCAAAGTACTCTACCCTTCTGTTCCTCTGTTCTTGAATATCAGTGGTTGTTTTGCCTTCTTTATCCTTGACCGGTCCTTCTGGTTTACTATATATCCCTGCTAGTTTCTTCGTTGTGTCATATATTTGTTTCATAATTCTTCCTCTTGAAGCTTCTTCCACTGTCGTCGCTAGGTCTTCTACGTATCTCTTCTGAATCTATCCTTTGCTGTCCAGAATGAGTTCAATGGATTTCACTTATTCCAAACACCGCCATGTTGTATCTCGTCATTTCCGTAATTATTTGATTCGTCGTCCAGGTCTCACACATTATGTGGACATTCGATGTGACTTTAAAAATTGTTCCTCTGATTTCTAGAAGGGGCACGGCCTCGTGACTTCCGAAGAATCTCGGCTTTCATCACGAGGGGTCATCATTGTTCTGAATGAATATTATTCAACTACCATGACAGAGTTTAAATGGTTTGATTTGTTTATTCTGGCTAGCTTTTTTTTAGCAAGGTTGTTTTCTACGGGATCGGGTTGCTGATCCAATGCATAATCCTCCTCCTTTAACCGGGTTTGGAACCGGCAGCAACTCTTGGAAATCTAAAGGACGAGTTGTCCAAATCACTATTAAATAGAAATTCATGTAATCTACTTTGTCTGAAGCCCCTCTGTAGCTACTGCCGGTACCAATCGCGGATAGAGAAGGAGGGTTGGTCATGGGGTTGGCAACCTCATCTCGTAGAAAACTAACACACTAAAAAACGCTAACCAGAACAAATAATTCAAGTAAGTAATCACGTTAAATATATGATACATCATAGTAATCTATTGATATTTCAAAAATTGTTTTTCTTCAACTTTCCTCCACACCGAAATTTTGGATTATTTAGCCGCTTTTGGCAATACGAAGTTACAAATCAGCTATGCCAATTGTTATGGGTCATGGATGGAGTTTATTAGAGGTACATTTATAGTATATGCTTTTATTTATGTACTGTATTTTGTCTTATCTTTTAAAACTGGTAAAATTATTTTCCGATTATAGACAATAAAGATTTATCATATTATGTAAGCTGGATAGTTTAATCATGTTCATCTAGCTAAGAGGAAACGCAGGCACCTTCAAAACACTTATTTTCATAACTTTCAGTCATTTTTTCATCAGCAGCAACAAGTTAATTATCTTTATAGATGATTCTTTACTGTCAATTTACATCTCTTTTCAAACGTGTTGCTCAGTATACATATATAAATTCCAACACAAGAGGTTTTAATTTACGACTAGTAATCATTACAATCCTTCATGTTTATCATGCCGTTATTAACAGCATTGTAATGTGCAAAATTGTGTAAACTTGTTCTAATTCAGTGATTCAAGGCGTTACTATCTCTTTATTTGAAACTGGATTAACTATTTCGATTAAAAAGCAGATTGTAATTACTGTCAGTTTTATTAACTCTGTCTGTCTAAGAATAATTCACTGACCTACTGTTAATCATCATTGAAATAAGATCAAAAATCATATCAAGACGTCTAAGCAATTGATTTATATACTGACGACAGAACAATAATATTGATCATCTTTGTATAGTCTCACCATTAACTGGTTGTGATTATCTGCGTGTTTAATCCATCTTATTTGTTTTATTTATACCAACCGCTTTTATCAGGATCATATAAATTTCAATGTCGGTAAACAAGCTTATCTTATTGGAGATTTAAATACATCTTGTAAGGCTTTAGCAGAAACATTGAATTCATCTAGTCGACAGTCTGCGGAACGTCAATTGATATTTGTTAAAGAATATTTATCAACATTAACAGTAAGCAGATTATGTTGTACTTTTTTTTTCAATTTCATTTTGAATATTGGATACAAATTTATTGACGATTCATTATCAAGTACATTTTGTTAAAATGTTCACAGCAAACAGTTGAAAACATCCTATTCATTTTATTCTATTTTAATGAAACATAAACAGTATTGTACTGTGTTAATCTGTATTTCCTATTAATGAGTTAATATTAATCTTGTTCATCTTATCAGTATACATTGAGTTGACTTAGGTATGGTTCTCAGATTTCAGTAAGATGTTCTGTAATTTCACGTTGAAATACATTCGATTGCCTCAATTCGTGTTCTCGTTCACTACATTGTAAATGATTCTTTTGACAGGCATATGATTGATCAGTAAGTTGACTAATGTGGGAATAGTATATATAGTCACTAAGACCTCTTTAATCCTCTCCATTATAATAGATATAAAACAACCGTTTTCTATATGCATCATTTCATCTTTAGAACACATGTTGGTGTTATCATTATTCGATGTTTTTTAATTACGGAATCGAGAAACTATACTTAATTTACTTCATATATAAATCTTCCGTGAATGGTTTTTAACAAATATCATCTTTCATTATACTCCTTAAATAACATCTTCAAACCCTAATGTTTTCGACTACTGCTTATACTCTTACTACCTTTACCACTACGGGATTTGAATCGACAACTGCATCTCGGTGCTAATATGGTATGGCAACTCGAACTGATGTACGTACGTACGAAGTTGTACGTTGTAACTGACTGACTGACATCTTCCATTAACACGTACTGAGAATAATAACATCGTTTCAATACAATGAATTATTGAATAAGGTTTTTTGTCAGCTGATATGTACAACTTTAAGGATATACTCAAATGTTTTCGTTGTAAATCAAACAAATCATCACTTTATGAATGATTTGATTGTCTAACAGACAATATTTTGAAGGTTTATATGAAAGATTCTGTTCTTTGTGAGTATTTGTTGTTGATGTTAAAAACAGTTCTGGCTATTTCTATTATTTGGCATTTCCAGTCTAAATATTAAATAAAATATGAACGTATAAAAACAATGAAGTTTTGGAAATTTAATATGTGAATTATGAAATGTCTTCATTAGATTATGGGCAATTCATTTTCTCCAATGTTATTCAAGTTACTAAACTGTTTCACTTTGTATTAGATCTGAGAAATACACATTGAATTATTCACTGCTACATTGTTCAAGTTCTTAGTGAGGCGAAACAATATCCAGATTCAATAAACTTGACATGATTAACGTTTAGTCAATGTGTAAGCATCAGTTACTTGAGAAATATTTTGAAACATAAAATTATTCGGTAGTTCTCATCTTCTCTACTGTTCTGTAATTGACTGGACATTTACCACTATTTTTGTTTTCTTTTGAGATTTATTTATTTATTTATTTGAACACATAGATATTGGTACAAAGGGGCACCAAATATATATATATATATATATATATATATATATATATATATATATATATATATATATATATATATATATATATACGTAACACAAATCTCATTTGATATGCGTGAGAACTGTGATACTGACCGGGTGCCCAAACCGATGTAGGTGGTTTTCTTAGGGGGCCACACACGGAGCCTTCGACCTAAAGGTCTAATCCACAAGGCAATAGAGCATCGTAAGGAGATGCAGTCTCATGATAACCGGTGACCAAGAAATTGGTTCATACGCCATTTGTTCCCGCAGGATACTGGAGCCCATGTGGAATCCTGTTAAAGTGCCGGACATTCGCTTTTCGTCTTCTCGATTTCGTAAACAACACGCGTGGTGCGAGAGAGCATTGAGTAGGACTTCCCTTGCAGAGACTATATACGCCTGGCCATATGAGAGCACTTGGAGGGGGGGGAGCTAACTCTCCCCACTCTCGGCCGTACCAGGGCATCTGAGTGCTTTCTTTGATAACCCTATAATTCTTAAAATTCAACTGGAGATAACATAGTCACTAGAAATATAAGGGAAATCAATGATTTGACAGATAATTCCCATTTAAACATTTAAAATTAAAAACAGGAAGTTCAGCGAAGGAATGAATTTATTATCAAGCTGTACAATCGAATATATATGAATTTATACGATTGTACAGCTTGATAATAAATTCGTTGAGAAGAAATCCCTTCGTTAAACTTCGTGTTTCTAAATCAATGATTTGTTAAATCATCTCCCCTTATCGTAGTAACTAAAGATCAATTCGAAGTGTTTACTTTATTGGATATCAATATTGATGTTCTATGACCCCAAATGCCCTGGTACAACCGAGGGTGGTGATAGTCAGTTCTCCCTCTCCGAATGCTCTCACATGGTCATCCGTACACAGCCTCTGTCAGGGAAGTCCTACTCACTGCTTTCTCGCACCACGCGTGTTGTTTACGAAATCGAGAAGACGAAAAGCAAATGTCCGGCACTTTAACCGGGTTGGTGAACATGGAGAGTCCACCTAGGGCATTTGGAAAACCCTGATTCCAAACCAATGGTGCATATCGGCTCCAGTATCCTAAAGAAACAAATGACGTATGAACCTATTGTTGGTCACCGGCTACCATAGGACTGCATCTCCTTACGATGCTCCATTGCCTTGTGGATTAGACCTTTAGGTCGAAGGCTCCGTATGTGGCCCCCTAAGAAAACCACCCACTTCGGTTTGGGCACCCGGTCAATATCACAGCTCTCACACATATCAAATGAGATTTGTGTGACGTATATATATATATATATATATATATATATATATATATATATATATATATATATATATATATATATATATATATATATATATATATATATATTTCGTGACCCCTTGTACCAATATTTATTTGTTCAAATAAAATAACAAAATAAAATCATTATTTGTGCTTTCAATGTACCGCTTATCGGTTTATATTTTTATCATTATTATATCACAATTACATATTCTATTTGTTTGTTTTGTTTTTGTTGGGGAAAAAATAATTATTATTTCTTTTCAGAATTTATTATCTATTAGATGTGATAAAGAGCAAACTTTACCAGAATTCCCTTTACCAATTATTGATCTTCATAATTTTAAAATCATCATTGGTAAACCATCACAACAATATCAACAACAAGCTGGTAAATATAATAATTGTTTTTGTATATTTAATATTATTAACATTCAATTGATCAATCTTATAGTTTATATTTAAATTTATTACTAATTGTACTTCATGTTAGTCGTTTTCAATAATTCTGTATTCTTGAATCTTTTCAAGAATACATTGACTAACATGATTGTTCTGTTCTCTTAGTTATTATTTGTTCAATTTTAATAGAGAATTCTTTTTTTTTCTTTTCTAATTTCAATCATTGAAAGTATTGTAAATTTAATCACAATATTTCTGTAACTTAATGTTCAGAAATTTGGATACAGAATGCATACACATTTTAATTTTGTTCCTACTACAGTATTGTTTTGTATTGAAATGGTTACAAAATTAGAAATAATCATCATTACACTAATTCTCAATGAACATTTCGTTATTGAATTCTTCAATAATTGAAAGTTTAAGTTTTTTTTTTATTAAAAAGAAATTTGAAGTGTTTATTGGAATTAGAATGTGCTTACATCTATTTGTCTGTCGATCTGTAGAAGATTTCGTATTGATTTCATATTTTTCAGAATTTGTCTTGTTCTCTAAATAAATTCATGACATGCCCAAATCCCCCTTTCTAATTATCTATAGAAACTATTAAATCCATTTCATTTTATCTAAAGGTTTTGTTTCATATCTGTTTAATGTGATAATAGTGCATTCATGATTAGTGTGCTATGGTTTATTTGAAATCTGTATATAGAATTTGATAATGTCAAATTTCTGTTCCGTTTTAGCCATGTGTCATCTGCAAGTTCTCTCAGATCTAGTTTTACTGCATCTTGTGTTTTTTTTTCAATGATATTCGTTATTTGCAGAATTTGATTATATCTGCTCTGTGTGTTCGTAAGTAAAGTTGCTCAGATTAACTTAGTGGTTAAGTATCTTTTGACAATTTCGGTCGGTTATTTTTTGAATATCTAACGACACAAAATCGAAATTTGTCAATGATAATTTCAGATAGTTTATTTTCAATCAATTGGTTGTATCCCAGCCTTGATTCATTTATAAGAAATTTGTACAGTTAATAAGTAATTTAACTAATCTCCAACCTAAATTGATAGTTCATAGCGTATTTCACAAATTGGGACCTGATTGTTATCAGTAAAGTCATGAAAAGTTGTTTTTTTTTTAAATCAGTATCTAATATCGAATTATTCACAATTATCTGAAATTAATTTCTTAGATTTACCTGGAACAAATTTTTTAACATTTACCCCTTCAATTTGTAGTTAAACCTTTATTCATTAGGTATGATACACTAATTATAATGATAAAAATACAAGTATATTAACAATAATAATCTTTGACTATTATAGATAATTGTAATCAAGCAAATTTACATTCCGGTAAGATATCTACCTTTTGTGTGTGTGTGTGTGTATTTCTGTATTTTCACCCTATTCGTTTAATACTCAACTGAATTTATTCACAATGCACTTATGCTTCATTCCTAAAGACCAAATGTATGTTATGTTTTGTTTTTCTTTTGTTTGCACGAGATTTGTGTGAACGCATCAGAAATTCCATTTGTTTAGTTTGTCGGTTATAATTCTGAGAATATTTTTTAACAGAGTCAATTACACTGTATTATTGCTTGATAAACGTTTCAATTACTATTTCAATAACAACAAAAAGAATCATTATCAGTGCGCTTAGATCAATAGTGATTTCTTGCATTACTTTAACGGGATATAATTTGATTAAAATATACTGATCAATCTTATGATTTCTTTCTGATTGATCCGTTTAAATCTTTATCACTTATTCTATGTCGTTTTATATAAAAATGTATGCTCCACTAATTTTTTCTTTATATGCAACATGCAACATGTTACACCATGTAACTTTTCCCGCCCGGACATATAATTATTATAGTGTATAACTACTGTTTTCAAAATTTCACTATATTGAATGAAGATTTCAATTAGTCTTAGTTTTTTTATTCACTTCCATTAATAATTCGTTAATCGGCTCAACACTTCATGAACAGTAGACAAAGATACAAGAGATGCTTTAGTTTGTAAAATGACTGGATTGTTGGAAGAGAACAACAGATTTTTTTCTTGGATGGAATGGTGTTGAGTTTTGTGTTATCGAACCAATCAGTAGAAGAAAGCAGGATGTCGATCAATTCTCGATTATACTCTGTTCAACTACAACTTAAGACTCATGCAGTAATATACTTGAAGTATCTGATTACATATTTTTAAAAAACTGCAATATTTACATAACTTGGTGATTAATAATAATAAGAATGCAATACCAGAGTATTAGGGAAGTAGTTAACTAATAATAAATTTGAAATAATAAGACATATGACAACGATTTATAGATCAAATGATAGCTCAGCAATATGAGAATATAAAACACATAAATCTGAGCATATATTAATGGTATAGTAAAAATAAATAAGAATACTTTCTGTGATAATTTCAAAAGTTATACTTTGGCATAACTTGGTCCATTATATTCCTGTCGTATTGGAACAATAATTTTAGCCAGTTGCAATTTCTGCTCTACATGAAATTATATGATTTTCTGATACTTTTTCAAATCTCCTAAATGAAAATTTGTCATCTAATATACACTGGGGATTATTAAACGATGTATTCAGTTGCTCATTATAGCGTATGTTTATAAGTAAAAATAAATATAACTAGTAATGACATAAATCAATAATGAAGAAACAAGTACAGTGAGTACATCTTTTATATTGTCATTCATTGTAAGTCATACTATCTATTTTCAGCCAAGTAGTATTTTCTATCATTCGTACTTTTACAGTATAGTAATCTATATCTTCCTAATCAACACTAACTCTAATGATCAATAATTTTATTTTCTGCTGATGAGTCCTAGTCATTACTGTTTTATTTTTAAAATCAACCTAGTTACACTTCATTTAATATTGTACAACTAACTGCTAAACGATGACATGCCTTAAGTCAGTACATAATCTTTTAATCTTTCATAATAACTATTTTGTGATCATAAATTATTAACGATTAAAAGCTTGATCAGTATAATCTTCTTTGTCATAGATTATTTTGACAGTTGAAAACATGTAAATCTTCATTGCAAAAACGTATAAATAAACATTCTAACTATCTTTCATCTAATTTTTCATAGCTATTTGAGTGGCTAGTGAATAAAGTTTTTACTTGATATTCACCTTATATTTAATTTTATCATTATTCCATATTTATTTTCATAATATTCCAATTTCACTAATGTATATTTCTATCTTATTGTTTAAAGATCTATTCGTTGAAGCTCGAGGTGTACAGTTTTCGGATACTGAAGATGATGAAATAGGGAATGAAGATATTGGTGACGAATTAACACCTTCATCATTGTCACAAGTCATCGAGTGTGAGAATATCGATTCGTTCAATAATGTAGAATTTCAAAAACTCACTAAACACTATCATAATTGGATGGAGGCCACAGATATTAGCAGTAGCAGCAGTGAAGAAAGTTTGGTAGACGGTCATCATGTTGATACTCGTTACAGAAACGGTGATTGTTATCCTTATCATGTGAATGACAGTAATGATGAATCTAGTTATCGTGTTACTCGTAAAAAAAGTATATCATCTCAAAGTATGATTTGTCAACGACTAGAATATATTCTTTTGCAAACAACATTACCAACTGATAAGTCGAAGAATTCTCATTACTTCAAACGTGATAAAATTATTTACACACCTCGTTCAAAGTATAAACGAATGCCTTCATTTCCTCTTGGTGGTAAGTTAGTGAGTGTATCATAGTAATTTCAGGTCGATTATACCTACTGTCTTCAGATTTTCTGTATACTCACTATCAAAATCATTTCACTAATATTTATTAACATTCAATTGTTGATCTAACTTTGATGTATACATAGTAGACTGAAACTATGAAATAAACACATCCTTTGCAGTGTTTAACTTTAAATTTCAGCCTGGTAGTTATGATGCATTACGTTTTTGTATTAGTTCAACAGTTCTGGTATACATTACTTTCAAAAACATTTGAAAAGGTACTGTCTGACACATTCTAACGAAATAATGCTCAAATAATATAATTGCTTACTCGCCGCAGAATGTTGCTTATAATGTGAACTGAGCGTAAAATCTGGTGGCCATCTGGAAATTTGAGCTTAAGGATCGCTAATATGATTGAAGTAGCGCTAAAGAGAAGCTTCAAGTAAACCATTTGTTTTCGGTGTATAAAACCAAATTACCCTTAAGTCAATCAAAAGTGCATTAATACTCTTCTGAGGTTATCTTCAAATGTATTTACGAATTTACATGTACTTGTAAAAGCAATTAAATAGGATGAACAGAAAGAATCGTATGTGCAGTGTTTTCCGAACATATTCCTCGTTAGTTGTGTCTGAATGGAAAATAAATTGTTTATAAGTGAAATCACTAGATATAACGTTAATTATTCAAAATAATTTACAAGCAACTGATATCACTTATACTCTGTTTCATAGAGACCTTTACTACTAAACACCTTCGACCTGATATTTATATACTGAAAGAAAATATGATAAATCTCATTCATTTGCATTGTAAGATAGTTATATTATTTCAATGTTTATCAATTACATTATCTCTTTATTAGACCTTATAATTTAAAGTATTTTTTTTGTCAACAAACTTCTTTGTTTATCGTTTGTTTGTTAAAAATTTATCTTTTATTCTTTGTTTCTTTTGCTATTATTTACAATTTCATCGTCATCTTCAACTTATAAAATACTAATCAAACTTAATTATTGTTGAATTCATGAGTCAATTTTTAAACTAGACCACTATTACAAACCTGTAAACACTGAACGGTCGTTTCGTTCTAGTATGCGATTCCTCACTTGTGTGTATCTATGAGCTATTGTGCTAAGTATTTTGTTTCTAACCGAAATTCATTTATTATGGTATAAAATAAAAAAAACTTTTTCATCAGCCGTATGTTAATTTTGAATAAATTGAGCATTGGTTTGATTGTTATAAATAAAACTGAACTTCTTCTGCGAATAAATAACCAAATCAAAATTAATAGTATAAAGCGTACAACGCAAGTATATTATGTGCGATCAATAAAAAAATACCCGGGTGTGATTGACTTGTTCAGACATGTTTTTTTGATTGATCACACATAATATTCTTACGTTGTTTGCTTTGTACTATTGAAACTTGGATTAATTTTGATTTGGTTATTTATTTATTCTCTGATGAAGTGACTTACAATAAGTCACGAAACGTCAGAAAATCTAATTTTCTCTTTCAATTATTGGGATATCTACAAATATATTAGTTTATTTTTAATTAGCCATTTAAAAATGATAAGAAGCATTAAAATACATTGAATTCATGTTTATTCTGTAAAATTCGTTCTCATTTTATTGAAATTTATCAAGGTATCAGTTTGTATGAATTTCCACAATAATCATGATTTTTAATTTAGAATTGTAGAACTTGATGAGGTTAACATTGTTATGTCTTTATGGTACTCTAGTTATTAGGTAATTTATTCGCCAATGAAAATACGACTTATTTGCCCTTGTACAGTATTAAACTAATGACGTTCGACCGGTATAAGCAGCCTAGCGTCCTAATTGATCTTTTGTTCGCTTAACCCGTCCAGTTGACTGCAGAACACTATTAACAGCTCCCACTATGCGAATCATTTATTTCAAACATACTTGGTTTATGTACCAGCCGAACAGATCTCATCGCACCATAAAATAGGAAGTAACATTCATACATAAATAAGCCAAAAAGTAGCTGTGAACGTGGGAGACAGTAATTAATAAACTGAGTATAACATAGGGACAGTAAACTGTACAATAATAATCTATAGGTTAAAACGAAGCTTATAATAAGAGGAATATAGATATACATAATCTAATTACTGAATAGTTATAGAATAAGAATATGTAGATTATATTTGTCCATTATTAGGTCTCTGAAGTTACTCGTAATTTAGTCCTCACTAGGATGTAACAGACATCAAATACAACCGTCCGGTCTAATAACTCATTGCTCTTTAGTATTAATTTGTCATCTTTGGTCAAAGTCTACATCTGTTGACAACAGCTTACAAACACTTTCCGTAAAAAAATACTGAATGACAAATATTCAATGAACAGGGAATAAATATGATGATGTAATAGAAAGATTATAATACTGGAATAATAATAACAAAAGATTAAGTGTGTGCAAACAGAAAGCCTTGTAAAATTAATAAGCTAGCAACGGATTATAATGTGAATAAATTAAATGGTTAAGATGTTTTGGAGATAATAATTAAAGATAATAGAGATGTAAAATGAAAGGACATGATATGAGGAACAGTTATGAATAAAATCATAAGGATATGAGACATATGTAAAGTGAGGGGGATATTTGCATGTATGAGATGTAATAATAATAATAATATTAAATTAAGATCAGGTTAACAAAGTGTTTCTGATATCCCTTCATTTCATTTTTACCCCTTTATTAACTTTTAATTATAGTAACAAATACATTGAAATCATCTTACTTCATTCACATTATAATCCGTTGCTAACTTATTAATTTTACGAGGCTTTCTATTTGCACATACACAATCTTTTATTATTATTATTATTATTATCATTATTCAAATTATGTAATCCAGTATTATAATCATTTTATTACATCATATATTCATGGAACTAGTACTTTAAAAAAAATATTCTATGAATGATTTTTTTTCCATTTCTTATTTCTCCCACTTTTGTATTTTACGTAATCTCATCATTTGTTTTTTGATTGTTACATAACTATTAGTTCTTTTTACATATTCAACATAGCAACTAATTGATTTTTCGAATATATAATTTGATTACAATTAATCTCTTTCTTCAAATTACTCAATATTATTTTGTAATTAATGTTTCATTATATAATTATTACGTAAAATAACTACCTGATGAGTATTGTTTCAATGTTGTAAATCATACATATAGATATATATGTATATGTTAGTCTAGAGCCATGATGAAAAACTAATTATCAGAAGGGGTTAGTGGAAATCTTAGAAATTTCAAGAGTTGAAATCATGAGTTAATTGAAGCTAAACCACCATGGAAAACCTGGAAACACTGGACTGCCGTTTCGTCTTATTGGGGGACTCCTCAGCACTGCATCCACGATCCCGCCCACACCCTGCGAGGTTCGAACCCGGGACCTATCAGTCTCATACTAGGACAAAATAGCCGTTCAGTGCTTCCAGGTTTTCCATGGTGGTCTAGCTTCAATTGACTCATGATTTCAACTATTTATAATCAAACATGTAAATTTTAGACTGACAAACTACTTTATGGCTATAGTGGATGAAACTCATGCATCAAGTTGAAACCTTGTTCATGGTATTCCACTCAGTTAATATACTTACCAATATAGGGTGTATTGTGTAATTTATTTTTACTGGAATATTAATCTGTGGATTGTCGATTTACAAATTTTGAATAACTGGATCAGAATTATCCACTTGTAATTTATCGGTTATTCACAATAAAGTTCTTTACAGGAAAGATTTACAGTTTTCGATTTCAGTACTTCTAAAGTTCGAAATGTAAAGACCATTCTTTTCTATTCTGTCTTTTTATCCACCATTTCTTTTTTAGTTTGCCTTCATATTGAATCATTGGTATTTGTTATTGATGAGATGAATGAAATTCCCTTTTTTCTCTCTCTTATATGTATCTGTTTATCATTCATAAGTATGAACCACATTTAATGGTTACCTTTTTTCTTAATTAATCATGTTGATTTTATGCTGTCAAATAAACAACATCCATATTTATTTTCTTGTTTGTTTACCTTAATTTCAGAACATTTAACTGTACGAATAACACTCATTAATCCTATGCGTATTCCATTAGTTTTTACTAATGTTCATTTATTATGGATATTTAAATTGACAAATTCTAACACAGATTCATCATCTTGTACAATGAATACAATTGATTCAAATATAATAAATAATTTATCTTCTCATTATCATTTATGTAATAATATCAATAATGATCAAGTAATTAATATAACAAATGAAATTACAATTCATTCCAACTATTCTTATCCTCATTATCAACACGAAAAACAACATGAATTGATCAATCAATTTGTTTCTGGTGAAACTATAAGTGAATTTATTATGTTACCGGGAGAACGAAAAAATGTAAATTTCATTATATTCTCTATCATAAATTTTAATATATCATATTCATTTCTTAATTTTAATCAGTAGATCAATGTTGTTTTAACCCCTTATCATTGATTGTATTTTATGGATCAACAATCCATTACACGTGTAATTATTCACATTAATGGTTATGTTGTGTAAGTCTTTTTTGTGATCAATTATCTCAAGATTCATAAATTATCAACCATCAGGAAATCTCAGTTATTGTGTGTCATTGACTGGTTATTCGGTATTTATGAAGATATCGTCAAAGTTTCATGTCTAGGACTGTGAACAATTTTTGATGTTTAAATGCGTAGTTTACTAAGATGAGTTAGATACAATAGGTAAGAATTTATTATAGAGTAATTCTAGGTCTAGTACTCAGCAATAATTCATGGTAGTTTATTTTCTTGTTTTGATAGACTATGTATAACTCTTTTAAAGAGATTAAGTCGATCTTTCACGAATATTAGCAATATAATTCGTGAAGAAATTTTCATGTTAGTAGTCCACTTTCAGAATAACTCACTGACATTATAAATCATTACTTACATTCTATATCAGTGTTATTCATGTTACATTATTCTCCTTTCTCAATTATTTTCTTTCATTATTTCTAGCTTCAACTTAGTATAATCGCTAAACAATTGGGTCAGATAACTATAACTGGCCTAGGATTTGAATGGAGCTATCTGTCACCTCATCAAAATAGTGTTGAAAATCACATTAACTCTAATCATTATGTTGTTAATTCACCATCTATTATTGAATCTGCGCCAAATTTATTTTCATCTACCACAACATCAAAATCATTCGACAACAATCTGTATATTGATGGTAAAAATTCATCAGTTACTGATTCAATGTGTACTAATCTACCACCTAATATTACTACTAATAATGACAGTGTTGCGACTTCTATTAGTGAACGTAATTCTGTAAAAGGCAAAATTCTATTCAATCAAAAAACGTGTAACAGTGTAAATGATAATTCCATGATACGGCTACCGTTGGATTGGTCAATTACGCATCCAGTTCCTTCTTTAAGAGTAAGTAGGGATTCTTTTAACAAGTTATGCTTCTCAGTAATCTATACATATATCGTCAACGAATTTCGTTTATCGTATCTTTCTTTCTGTTCTTGTCCTACTCTCCATTTAACATCATAAACTCTGAAGCTAGAACTGTCACAACGTTCAAGTCCAAAGCACTGTGTCAATCATTACGTGACTTTTAGAAGCTCAAACAGCATTATTTAATTAGATAAGCTTTTCATTTGTTTTCATTTATAAATACCTCAAGAATCGATTTCATTGGGAATAAGATTAGCATCTTAAAAAATTTCAAACTAATGCTTTATCTTACTTCATCGAGTTTTAAAGTTCGCTAGTTTACATTTCATGCCCACTTAGCTATCCTTCTTTATGTTTAAGCTAGTCTTAGCTCTTATTTATGATCATTAATTCATTATTCTTGTACGATCTCAAATTGTAAAAGATATGGCTAGAACCCCATTTCTGCAAAAGATCTTTCCCACTGTTTGTGATTCATAAATCAGTTTCCACCGTGTATATAGATTTCAATATGTCCGCTGAAAGTGAGCTGTGATTGGTTTATGATTGCAGGCCGATTTATTTATACGAAATGTAACCTATCGTGCTTGTCATAGTTTACCTTGCTTCTGGCAAATGTTGTGTTTTTATTAGGTCTTCGTACTAATGTTGTTGGAAGGCAATCACGTTTTCAGGTAATTCGTTCTAAGCAAGTAAAAAACGTTCTGAAGCTTGACATTGGTAGACTCGCAGGGTTCTAAAACATATGGAAACTGATACGCATCGATAAGACGTTCGTTTATCTCACCTCTGATAAATCCTTTTAATTGCTGTCCAACTTGTACTGAGTAAAAGTTAACACCGAATATAGTCGTGAGGTAATTTCTTTCTGTTTTTGAAAAATAACCATATTTTCGTATTTCCTGTGCTACTTACAACTTACTGCTATTTTCTGTTGACTCATTTTTTTCATCTATCACTTTACCTTAATAAGTTAGCTCTGATTTTACTCAACTCTTCATTATAGTATCGTTTTCGCGATTAATTTCGTATTACATAAAAAATATGAAAAAATATTTGACTGTTAAAACTCTATCGCTAGTATATGAGGTCCCACCACGTGCTAGTAAAGTCAGATGTCTCAATGTTATGTCCATAATGCAGATTGTGGTTCTTATTTATCGTATATGTATACGATTTTCTCAACAAAGTATATAAGGATTCTGGAAGATACACAGCCCACCAACTTTCTAAACTGAGTCTAAGAATATTGTTTTAATAGATAAATGCACTATGCACTAAACCAGTAATCAGCGTCTACATTGATACTATTTGAGTTATTTGGTTACTCATAGATACATCCAAGTTCCGTTAGCTACTATTCTTTAGGGGGAATAGATCGTAGGTTAATAACTATTTGTGTTGAACTTCAGGTCGTATTGAATAATTAACAAGAGTCAAGGTTTCAAATTATTTCGTTTACTTCACAATCTGCTATGTCACATGTTATTTATATTTTCATATGGCTGATAAATTTGTTAACTATCTTAGTGACATCGTTGCTGGTGTTTCGAATATTGTTTTTCTTGTATTTATTTAATGAGTTAAAATGGAAGAAGAATTCATTGAGTGTTTTTATCTGGTATCTTTTGTTCATAACGTTCGCTGTGGAGTGTTTATTGGCTTATTTCGAAATATATGTGAATGTCATCTTAAACTGTTTATCCAGTTAATTGTACAATACAACCAAATGCATAGAACACTATTTCTTTTAAATTTTATTACTGAAAGATTTTAACAAATAAAAATATTTTCCAATATATCATTGATTTGTATTTTTCTTTGACTGAATTAATTGGTTTCTGTATTATCATCTTGTTCTTTTATTATGAACAACATATTTATAGGTATTTTTCAGCTCATTCCCAAGCCAACTCTATGAAGGTCAGATATGTTCAGTTCAAATTTCACTAACTAATAGTGGGTTAATACCACTGACTAATTTGCGTATCGCATCAAATTGTCCAGGTTTATTTGCGTTTGGTTCAATTCCATATGATCTGTCACCAAATAAACATATTCAATATCTTTCAATTCAGGTAGGTTCTGGTATTTACGAACGTTTGCTTACTTTTATTGTATATATTTTATACACACAACAGTCAAAAAATCACAATTTTTACTTGTTGATCCTGAAATCCATATATACCTTTAAAATGATTATGCTCGTCTGAATTGTCTGAGAACAAACAAGTAGACCAATCATTGATTTTTGGTGAACATCCAAACAGTTGCATAAAGTCATAAATGCTGTTGAACAAGAAACTGCCAAAGTTAGTCGAAAAAGCATGGTGATTTTCGAAAAGATTTGAAGTGATGGTGAGACTAATTTATGGACGACCTTTGAACGACACTAAACCGACCTTGAAAGTGCCCATCTAATAACTGGGAGCAGATGAGGATTATAAACCTGTGTGAGGAATTAGAATTATGTTTTACAGTTGATGATTAAGGTTAGGAATTTGATTTAGGGTTTTCATCACGAACTGACATCAGCTGTAATGCTAAAACTCTATTTATTCAAATGGATGAGTGAGTTTCGCGCCAAAATCAGAGACATGTTATTTTATACCTGATTGGTTTGTCCATAAATTGTTGTCTCTCCGAAATGATTAGTGATCATATAATCCAGATAATTGCAGATTTATTAAAACAGTATTTGAAAATATAATACTTTATGAGTTAAATTATTTTCAAGATTGTTAAATGTTATCGAGATCACAAATCCATCTAACTTCGGTTCATGATCCCAATAATAAGCTTTCTCTAGCTTATAGTAGTGGGTTTTTGTAAAGCGCAATTCCAGACTTCATTTTATTCTTTAGTCCACACTGTACTTGATATTTCCGAAGGTTGGATACTAGGTACGAATCTCAGTGGACAAGTATCGTCGTTCTGAACTTTTGTATCACAGAATTCAATGTATAACTATTGTAAGTTATGATTCGGTGAATAATACTGTTAAGGTGATTAAGTTTAATTTTGAACGATAGATGAATGTAATGATGTCTTCTCATGACATTGAACTATTGACTCAACCACAACTTACCCACCTTACTCGATTGAGTGGATAATGAAGACAAGACTATTAACCAGAAAATAGAAACACATTATAATATAATTCAAGATTGTATCGATAAACCCTCATTTCTAACTTTAACACCAATAAACTATTTGTTGAAATATAATTGAATTTACTTGTTTCACTCAAAAGTCTTAGTTCTCTCAAAGTTCGATAAGCTCTTGCTTTTGAAAACTGTAACAGTGAAACTGTAGTAGCTTACCCAAATAGTTAGTCACTTTTATTGAAATTTGACGCACTGAGTTCAAGACTATTTGATAGTGTATCATATTTAATAACGTTAATGCATTCGTTTGTCTGTAAGTAAACCAGGGAAGCAGTCATAATAATAACAGTAACAGTTAATAACAAAGTATTGCTTTAAGCATTTACAGGTTTGTGCAGTGATGACTCAAATTTACTATTTGAAAAATAAATATTACCGTTTTTATGAAATCGTGTTTAGACAAGCATTTGAGTAAAAAACAAAAATATGTAAATGCATAATTTTGTTTGAGCAGGAATTGACTAAACCGCATCTTCTTTTTTTTAAAAAAACAACAACTTTTTAGCCATTAGAGCCATGGATTGATGTTCCTTTTAGTCAGTCTTCTTTAAACAACAGTTACTGTACTGGTAAACAACCTTCTATACTAATGCCAGGTACAACTATTACACAGAAATTATGGTTACGTGGTCCATATTTAACATATCCATATTCTCGTAGAATGCATCCTAATCCGAATTCACATCGTTATCCTCAGCTCATTTCAGCTTTATCATCATCATTATTATCTAATCAAAGTAGCTATGGTAGTAACACTTCCGATGTTGTAACTTGTGGTGGTCCTCCTACCGTTAGTACTACAATTCCTGTAACTTCTACTATAAACACCAATACTGGTCTTTTACATCATATACAGCAAAAAACTGTACATATTGTTTTTCAATATGAATCCACTAACACTTTACGAAATGAACAAAGGCAAAAACCATTTTCTGGGTAAATTTCTATTTATTTAAATGATATTACATTGTCTTATTTACTTTTTAATTAACAATGTTCCTATTTGAGATTTATTACTTCATATTGTGATCTGTTTAAACAGCAACTGATAACTCAAAGTAAAAAAAAGAAAGAAAATTGAATTGTAAATTTGGAAAATTATGTAAAAACTTGAAAGTGAATAGTGTTGCTAAGTTTAAGATGACATCACTAAAGTTCTCGTTTTTTTTATAACATAATTCTTGTACATTATAGAGCATATAATGGAGACTTATTTAAAATGCCAGATGTACTATTAATCCTATAGACAGTGGAATAAAGTTTAAATTTATAGTTTTAAAGAATAATAGTTTAATATCATAACAATTTAATGATGAAACTTTCAATTTTCAGTAAATTTCCCACTTCTATCAGTTTGATGTGTTTAGTTTCTTTTCTTTTTTTTTTAGAAGTTCAATGTACTTCAACCTGAAAACACCCTTCGCTTGTTAATTGTTTTAAAATAATTGAACATGTTTGTGATGAAAATTGAAAAAAAAGTTGAACATCTAGTTTCTTGTCGATGAATTTCTAAGTGGTATACTGGATGTTAAATAAACATTTTGTAAATCAATAATGTCTATGATTGTAGGTATCAATACTAAATTTGAACTTGATAGTTTCCAATCAATTGACTAGTGGGTAGAAAGTTAATAATAAATCTATTTTTTTACTATATCCCAATCAGTAAAAAAAACTATATTTCTGATGTTTCGTAACTTAATATAAGCCACATCTTCAAAGGGAACAAATAACACAATTCATGTCCATATGTTGATCAACTTCATGTCTGAAATATTTTACATTTCTAGAACTGTATAATTCAGTGTAGAGTTATGATTGACTGAAATATATATATATATATATATATATATATATATATATATATATATATATATAGAGAGAGAGAGAGAGAGAGAGAGAGAGAGAGAGACTCACAAGCACTAGTTTATTATATGTTCACATAGATTCTCATTATATTTCACACTTCTACACTTTTTATCAAGTTGTCGTTATGTTCGCCATCGTTCTGAACTTGAACTGAAACCATCATTGAATTTTGAAGCTGTTGCAAATTGTTTAAATATAACCGGTATCAATGATTTGCTGATTAGTGTACAAATTAAAAATGTTGTTAATTCAACAGTAAGTTAGTTTTATTTTTATCAATTATTGTAATTAAAAAAGACAAATGAATAGCTTATCATTATTAGATGCTAATATTATTATTCTGTTTATGAGTACAATGTTTCATTTCGACTTTAGTTTAGGATATATGTGGTAGATGTGAATACATCTCAGTGTATAATATGCTCATTTGTGCAAACTCTAATAAATTTCAGAAGGGGTTTTGTGAATATTATAGTTATTTTTTAATAGTTAAGATGATGAGTCAATTGAAGCTAGACCATAATGGAAAACCTGGAGGCATTGGAAGGCCGTTTCGTCTTACTGTGAGACTCCTCAACAATGTGCATCCATGATCCTGCCTAGTGAAATCCGAACCCAGGACCTATCGATCTCGCACGCGAACACTTAACCCCTAGACCACTGAGCCGGCAGGCACTCAACGGTGTCGAGCTTCAACTAATCCAAGAAATTGAGCGACACATCCACCATTTTCATCAGTGAGTTATCTCACAACAGACCTGGTTGAACTCCACCGGTCTCGTCTAAATCGACTCATGATTTCAACTATTGAAATTACTAAAATCTCCACAAAATGCCTTCTGATAAAACTAAATAGTGGGATTACAATTGTATTGATAGATCATTCAATTTTCAACATTAAAACAATCTAATAAACCTGAACTCCTTATTCCATTTTATCTATCACTTATTATCTGAATAACACCAGTTACATTGAACGGTTCTTAATCAATTGTCTTATCTGAATATATTAAACAATTAACTAGAACACAAACATTCATTCCTTCATTTTTATTTTGTTTATTTATGTTTATTTTATACATGCTCTAACATATACTTGATTCATATCATATATATGAAAATTGTAGTGTTTTCACCGATCAGAGATAATATATAGTTGATGAAATTTCTTCTCACAATACTTGTGTCTACATACCATATGTCTATTACACACTAATGTAAATACCTACTTTAAACATTGTTAACGTTAACGCGGTGGTCGTGCTTGCCTATCGTGATGATCCAACCGAGCTATATTGGCTGGAACATATGTTCCTGTAGGTTCTACCATGCCAGACAGGCCGATTGGAGAACGGTAAGACTAAAAGCAGCAACTCAAGGTCTGATGGCGAAGTCGTACTGCTGACTGTAGAGGGGTGTGACAGCAGTAAGGTGTTTCCCTCGGACAACCAGCATCTGCAGCGATGCTGCCTTCCCACAAGGAGGGGTGGGGTTAGAAAAGGTCAACCCTAAAAATATCACTCCTCACCTTACCTCACGGATTTCCGTCTCCGGCGGTAAGGCCCTTTGATTGGATGATCTATTTGAGTATACAGTTAACAAGAGAATCATGTATTTATTTATTTTGATGTTTGATGATATTTCCTTGAAAAAGCTTGAACCAGATTGTCAGATAAGAAACATTGAATTTACTTCAAATTTATTCGTTGACATTTTCTGCAAATACATTTATCCTCTTTATAATGTGTCACATCAACTTGGCACCCATGTGCTGTGAAACTGTATTATCCTATTTGATACGAATTTTTATTTTATTTATTAGGTTCCTATAAACTTTCAAATTATGCAAATTGCTTGTATTAGTCGTTATTGGAGCATAAAACCTATTCAATCAACTTGTAATATTGGTGAGTGTAATATAGTTTATTTTTAACATTTATTATTTTGACACTACTACTAACTAATTCTTTCTTCCTATACTGTATGCTTATATGCAATCTTTCTCCTATATATTACTGCCTTTAACCAAACCACTCCTATGAATCCGGTGTTCATATTGCTGTGCTAATGAAGTGTGGCAAATTAGACCGATGCATATATGTGCCCTGGTCCTACGTTGTAGCTGACTGACTGACTGACACTACTCACTCGTTAGTATTTTACAAATACTGTAGTTGAATAATTGAAATAGTCTTTTCAAGTTGATAGTTTGTTTTGTTTGTTTTTTCTTTAATTTTTGATCATCTGTAATCTAATTTTCATTCTTACAAGTTATATTTAATAATCTTTTTTGAAAATTAAATATTTACTTATATAGAAATGGTTGATCTTTCTAAAATGTTCTATGTCTATTGTGTGTACATGTAGTTTATTTAAAAAATGCGGTAAATTGGTTGTAGTTTTGATAGACTTCTAATCAGTTTCGGCTAAAAAAATTGGTTGAGCGATTTAAAACATAAACTTCCTTGGAGTTTTATCTTATTCACTAAGTTACTAGTCGGTACACCATCTAAAAATCAATTTTCTGAGTCAATAATATATTGTAATGTCGGTTGACATGTTAAGCCCATATATCTTAATCTCGCTTTCAGATAAGTCAATCTATTCATTTTAGTTGAGTCACATTCCAACCTTGTCACTTTATTCGATTACCAATCTTGACTGTTTTTATATAAACGCTTAGGTGTGTGTACATTTCTTACTCTATTCATCACATGTCTGTAACTTATTTTTGTGTGACTAAATATTAATTAACGCTCGACCAAATAGAGTTGACTTACCCACCATCTCCACTGTGCGTTGTTTCGCTTCTCTCTATTTTATTCGGTGCATATAATATGTATTCGAAAGTCCATTCTCGTTATTTGACTTATTTAATTCCGTTATTAATCAACGCCGATTAATGTCGATGATTATATACGAGGATAGGCGATATATATATTTCAATAACAATCATTCATACTATCTACCTGGAGTCAGATCCCGGGCCACTAAAATATCACCGGTTCATGAAGCCATAAACCAACTTGTAATCCTTTCAAGTTTGTTTAACAAAAAGCGTAACTGGTCATTGGGTAATATTAGATGATTCCATTTAAATTAATATAATCACTTTTCCATCAGATCTAGATGTTTTGCTCTATCTATTTATCTTTGAGAAAAAATATCTCTATTTTCTGATCCTTCGTAAATGTGATTTCCAGTTTTATTTAATTTACCGCTCAAACAATTACAATTAAACATGTTATTCAATTTTTTTACAATTTAACTGTCCATATAACATCGTTCACCTATGGAGATATTGACATTGTTCTAGTTAATCATACAACTGATTTTAAATTGAATAAAAGCGTTGAATTTGATAAGACTTTCAATCATTCCTACCTTGTTGTTGTTGTTGTTCTTTTGTTTTTTTAAGTTCACTACACAATCACAAATACAAGTTACAGTATCGATAGTCTTATGTATAGATCATCATCTACTCAGAAATTGTTGTTTCTTTATTTTCAATAGTTGGTTGTCTAGTTGTTTTTTTCTCCTTAAGATGTTTACGTTTATTGATTTAAACCTAATGACTTTTGTTTTACTCAATTTCTTATTCATATAAAGTTGACTTATGACATTATGAAAAGATGAAATCAATAAAAAAGAAATGCATGATTTATCAGCTCTTTAATAATTCACCATACATTTTTATAGTTACACTTTAAGTATTTTTCTTATATCTTGGATGTTGATTTCTTGATATACCGCGTATAACAGAACACTAGAACACTGAAACCCTTTCAAGTCGCAATAAGAAGACAGAAGTCTAATGAGAAGAATATTATTTCAAACAGTGTCAATCATAGTACAAAATTGTCAGCTATTTATAGTTTTTAGTCCTCCAATCCGCATTATCCATTCGGGTAGCTACACGTAGAAATTTGAGAACGTCTTCGGCTCCTTCTGAGCCTTTTACAGTTTCCTCGAGTTCACCAGTGGTCTGTTGTCACAATTTTATATGAATTCAATCATGAATTTATTGAATTAAACAACAATAACAAAAAGAAAATAATATCAAATCACATGTATCTTTCATGTTATTTTATTTTTGATTAACTTAAATGGGTTTTTTTCCCTCATAATAACTCTTTATTTCTTCAATTTAGATACTGTTCCTAGTATACATGTAGGAGAAATTATCACCCTTTATTTCAAAGCTATTCCAATCAAAAACAATTCAGAAATAGAAGAAAATCAAAAACAACAAACTGAAAAGAGTAATGCCACTTTAAAGGAAGGAAAGAAATTTCTTTCTGTCATTCATTTCAATCATCATCATCATCATTATTGTCAATCAAATAATACTGATAATACTGATAATAATCATTCAGTTGTATCAGATATGAGAAATATTATACAAAATTCAGATTTATCACAATCATTAATCAACATATATAACAATGATGACATGATGAGGTTATCGTCAACTCATTTAGAATTTTTTTGTCGATCTGGAATAAATTGGCATCATCACTCTGTAAGTATTTATAACCTTTTTTAATTTAGATGGTGGTTGGAGGTAATCAACAGGACTACCTCCAACCACCATCTAAATCTCAATACATAGTGCCCGCAGTGTTGAGTCACCTAGACTGGTGGCCACATTGCAACACGATCGACAGCATTCGATCTTCACTAATAAGGACTAGACAAGCATGACATTGATCACCACCCAGTGATCAATCAATTGTGAATCTTTTTTAATTTTAAGTAACATCAATGTAAAATAATGAAGTGGTTGCATTTTGAAATTTTTTCCTGTTTTCTTAATGTATTTAGTAAAAAAATTGTAGAATATTCTCCCTAATTCTGTTACTGAGATAATTACTACAATTATGATTTATTCATTGATCATCTCCGACGAAAAACGTTACTGACTAAAGTATAATGACCACATTAGATGTTGCAAAGGGCTGTTCTCTAAAAAAAACATTCGTCCACGCATGTGTTCCATGCAGTCAGCTTTTTGGAATAATGTCACATCTCGAGGATAACATTATATTGTTTTAAACGACCAGTACCGGATTTGAGTCTCACAGTCAATTTTAACAATAGAATGCAGATACATCCTCAACTGATGGTTTTTAAGTATGTTAAAACTCACTCCATATAATTCATTCGTAGATACTGTCCGGATCATAATCAATCGGCATTCAGTAATATTCTTTAATAACTTTATTTTTATTCTATCCTAGTTGACTGTTTTTAAATTTGTTTGACTTACTATTGCCAGTATTTATAAGCCACATCCATAGAGATTCTAACGTGATCACTTGTTAATCAGTTTTTTTAGACCTGAAAAAACTTACCTTGAATGCGTTCCCAGCCAAGATTTTATGTTGTTACCAACCTGTTGTCTCTTCATTCATTCGTTTTTTCTAAAAAATTCAATTATTTTTAAACTAGATACATTGCCTGTTGTATATTTAATCGTATTATAATCTACATTAACTCGGATGATAGTTATTACTGTGTTTATCACAAGATATTTATTGTCTGTAATTGTTGTGATTCTTTATGTTCATTAATAATCAAGGATAAATAAGAATTAAGTCAGTATGTTCCATAGATCTAGTTAACTCACTTCTAAAACATGGTATTTTGAAGTGCTTTTAAATTTACATAATTTATAAGATTTAGACCACCATGGAAAACCTGGAAGCACTGAACGACCGTTTCATCCTAATATGGGACTCCTCAGCAGTGCGCATCCACGAACTCGCACCCCGCGGGACTCGAGCCCAGTACCTACTGGCTCCACGCGCGAGCACTTATCCATTAGACCACTGAGCCGGCATCCAACGGTGTTAATGTCTAACTTCAACCAATCCACGAAGTTGCGCCACCGTACACCATTGTGTTCAGTGAGCTGATATCTCACAACAGATCTGGTTGAACTTCACTGGTAACGGCTTCTCACTAGAACTTCAGAAGGTTCTCCTGAAGTCAGTCACTAGTGAGCAGTTGATTATTATCAGAATGAGTTTTGTGGAGATTTTAGGAAATTTCCAGGTTTTCCATGGTGGTCTAGCTTCAATTGACTTATGATTTCAACCTGTGAAATTTCCTAAAATCTCCACAAAACTCATTCTGATTATAAGATTTAACCTAACAACAATTTAATCAGCTTGATATTTGAAGTTCATGGATTGACTCTGACATTAAACTATGTGTATTACAAAATATATTGAATGTGGATAAAATAAATTCTCCGAATGCCTTGGTACGGCCGAGAGTGGGGACAGTCCGCTCTCTCTCTCGAAATGCTCTCAAATGTCCACGCGTATACAGCCTCTGCCAGGGAAGTCCTACTCACTGCCTTCTCGTGGCGGGGGTGTTGTTTACGAAAATGAAAGGAGGAAAAGCGAATGTCCGGCGCTTTAATCGGATTCCAAACCAATGATGCACATGGGCTCCAGTATCCTGAGGGAACAAATGGCCTAAATAAGGCTTCGTTGTAGTACAAAACTTAAATGTACTTGTAGTTTATACTGAATAATGTAATATTTTCAACAACAAACAAAAACCATATCATATGCTTAATTCAGATGATATAAAGTACTGATTTTATTATCAGACTATAAAAGTAAACTAATGATAATTGATTTCTATCAATCAAATGGTTAAGATTATAAACTAATTGATGTTAATACTCTTTTCTACATTATTCTTACTTGTAATTATTTCTAAACAATCATCAAACTAATAGAATTAGAAAGCTTTTAAAAACCTCGGAGTTTTTCATATTTTTAGTTGTATTGTTTTAATATCAGGAAGAAAGATCATTGTCATACTAATCATGATGAATAGATTTAAGTGTTTTATCGAGAATGAAACTGGTTGCATTCGGATAATTATAAACTCAAGACTTTCAAATATATGAAGTTTATCATTTAGTTGTTTTTTTTAAAAATTCCGTCGTTCAGTTCAGTAACGAATATAGAATTGTAGAAATACTGACTCATGAAGCTGCTTTTTATCTTCTCATTGAGTTGCTCTTGCTACTAAGACAAGCAAATAAAAGAGGTGCTTGGAGATGAATAGTCGGTAATCTATATTCCGGTTATGCTAATAATTTAAACGTAACTATCATGTATTTTGTTATTTATCTTATGTACGAGTCATTACAATGAAGTATTTTGATTGTTTTGCTTTCAGAATGATGATTCAATTAAATCTTCTGACGATAGTTTATCCTTGGATATTAATCTCCTTATAACATGGAAGGTATACAGAATGGTTAATAATATTTTTTTACTGCTACTATTATTCTTATTACTTAGAAGATATATATATCGCTGTATATTAGAGTAGAGCCTGATGATGATCTAATCGAAAACAATGTTGTCCGATTATATGTTATTATTTGCAATATATCGAAATTTCTGGTGTGTGTGTGTGTGTTTATATTAATTTGTTGTCTAGGTAGAGGTATTAGTTTGTAATTTCGAATACTATTCATTGAGAACATTTACCATATTTCTCAAAAATTTCTTTTTTCTTAAAACTGTTTGTTTTTATTCTGTATTCTTGTGTAGGGTTCAACAGAAACTACACTAACTAATCTTCAACAATGTATTTGGGGGCAAAGTCATGTAGGAATTAATCATCTAAATTATCCAGTACGAATGCCATATAACTATGACAATAATTATGTAAGATTTCGTTCTCAATAATGTTACTTTTGTTTGTTATGGATCTTGAAAGTTTCTTTCTGATGTTTATGTCAATAATCTGTAGTAAAAGAGACGTTATAATTACAACAGTTGATATTATATGTATGAGAGTTTACGGTTTCTGCACATTTATTTGTTGTTATATAATTTTTATTGTTTTTAAACCAATAATTCCTTTCTCAAGCAGTTAGAGATTGTTTGATATTTCACTCTATCAGTTTCTTTATGATGTTGGGCACTTAAATGTTTATGCACTCAACATTCATCTTCAAATATTATATTACTACCTAAAATCGTGCACTTCAATAGTTGAAGTGTACCTTGAACTTAAAACGTTAGCTAGATTTATTTGAACTACATACATTCACATCATTCGTATCCAAACACTTAATAACTGTTCTAACATTTTTTTGTTCAGATTGCCATGCTAGACGGTCTTTTTAAGGTATCATGTAATATTTCGGTTGTTCATCGTAAACTCGTAGGTTTGTGTTTTTATAAATTTGACAGTATTTCAAGAAACTAAATCCAAGGTGCTTAGCTAAATATATCAATAGTACGAATTACTATATTCCGCTATCATTATAATAATTATTATTGATTGTTCATTGTTGTTGGATAGTGTCGGGTTTTTGGTGTGGAAGTATATTTACGTTCTAGTCAGGCTAATCACGTGTTCTTGATCTGAGTTGTGTCGAAGTCCTGTAGATTAGACTACTGGGAAGGAATCTAGTGTAGATATTCGTCTAAGGTAAACGTGTAAAACCCAACCATTATAACAATTTCAATGAAACTTAACAATCATAAGCCTTGTTCAACCGTGAAATATACGAATATACTGTAGAGTACATTAAATATTTATCTTGAAGTTGTAATTAAGCAATTGTAATAAGAATTTAGAATATTAATTGATTATTTTCAATTTCACTTTATCTAATTTAGTTTGAATAGCAGAATAATAAAATTATAATCAGATGATTATAGATAACTAAACCACTAAATTAATTAGATAAAAAATTTTTTAAACTAAAATAGGTATAAGAATAATGATTAGTCTCTAACCCTAACCTTTAGAGCATTATTATGTTCACAGTAATTCTCGACAAAAATAGTTTGTCATTTTATCGATAATTAATAATATTGTAATGAATATCATTAGTAGTATCAATTATATTGAAATTATATTAAATTGTTGGGATATTCAGGAAAATATCCCAAAAATTATCCTATTAAGTCTAATGCTATTCTTGGACTTGGACATGGTATTATTTTCTTATTGGTCAGTACTTATTTCACGTGTCATTTTCCTACTGGCCAATATTGTACAATGTTATTTTCTATTTTATGGTATGATGTGGTTTGTTTGACTGGTATATAAACAAAGTATGTTTGAAATATAATGATTCATACATCCGAGGCTGTGACTTGCGTTCTGAACTCAACTGCTGGGCTAGATAGAGAAGCGGGGCCAATCAGAACCCTAGGTCGTTCTACGTGTTTACGCGTCTTTGGTCCGATCGATAATTCGTTACCCTCAAATCAGCTGCCGTGTCAGAGTTATAACATAAATATAACTGTAAACCATTTGATTCTTACTAATAAAATTCAAACAATTAAATATGTAATTTTTAATAGTTGAGATTATGAATCAATTGAAACTAGATCACTATAACAAACCTGAAAGCACAAAACGGCCATTTTGTTCTAGTATAGGACTCTTCAGCAGTGCGCATCCACGATCCCGCCTCGCAAGCTTTCCAACCTACGACCTGTCGGTCTCGCTTACCAACGCTTAACATCTAGACTATTGAGCCAGCCGGTATCCGATAGTATTAATCTAATGATGTTCATTCATTATAAAATATATATTCTGTGATCAATTGTTTATTATTCTTATTCTTTTTTAACTGATTACTTTACAGAATACAATGGATTTAAAATCATTTAAAAGAAAATTTAAAAAGTATAAACATAAAATAATAAATAAGACAAATTCCACAAAAATAATTAATTTCAATGAATTGGATTTATCGAATTTAATGAGATTTCAATTAAATTATCCAAAATTTGTAAATTATTATTTACAAAATAATAATAATAATAATAATAATAATCCTGATGATCATAATCAAAATATAAATTATACTACTTATTCATTTGAGAATTTCTTTAAACATTTTTATCATTCATCATTTAATCTTCTTAATAATAATCGATTATTATGTGAACAATTAAAAAAATTGTAAGTATATAATTATCATTCTACAAATCATAATATACCAAATTATATGAATATAAAATATTTCATTATTTTATATAAATTACACAATTTAGTACTCGAATACCAAGTCCTGATATGGCTGAGAGTGGAGAGAGTTAGCTCTCCCTCTCGAAATTCTCTCATATGATCATGTGCATATAACCATTGTCAGGGATGTCCTACTCACTACCTTCTTGTGGCAGTACTGTTGTTTACAAAATTGAGTGGATGGCACTTTAACCAGATTGGTGAACATGGAGAGTCTACCTAGGGGAGTTGGAAAATAACCCTGATTACAAACCAATGGTGTACATGGGCTCCAGTATTCTATGGGAACAAATGGCGTATGAACCTCTTGTTGGTCACCGGTTACCATAAGACTGCATCTCCTCACGATGTTCCACTGCCTTGTGGATCAGACCTTCAGGTCGAAGGCCCGGGGTGTGGCCCCCTAAGAAAACCACCTGCTTCGATTTGGGCACCCGGGCAGCATCCTAGCTCTCATAAAAATAGAATGATTTATGTGCTACATATCTATTTGGTGCCTCTTTGTACCAATATTTATGTGTTTAAATAAATAAAAGTTGTAATTTAATTAATTATTAGGAAAATTATTCATATTAGAATTTTTGTGATATTTGATAATTGTGTGAAGGCTATCCCTGTTCAGAGATTTAATGGCTTTACACGTTAAAGCATTATTAACTAGTAACAGGAACCATTTCATAGTTTATTGTCGCAATTTTCTTGATGCATAGAGATTTACGGTGTAGAAAGAGAACATGAAATGTTTCATTAGTTGAGCACTGTGGATAAGTAACTTTCCACTCAAACCAAGCTGAAAAATCCAGTTAGTTTTTTCACAAGATAAAGAACGATGAAATGCCCTAGTCATACGCCTAACCTCTAGACCACTGAGCCAGCATGCAACAATGTTTATATTTAACTTCAATCGATCCATGATCTTGCACAACCCTTTATCGATTGTCTGAGGTTGGTACCTGTCTTCTCTACCCGATATTGATTTGAACTCCACTGATTATGGCTTATCACTAGAGTGATTTTAATGGTTAAATTACTGAAGTCTCGACAAGTCTCCACTTTGATAATTAGTTAATTATCAACTGTTACATTAGTTTGATGTATTCAAGTTAGTTATTTTCCAGATGAATTAGATGGCAATATCATCTCACTATATCATTCAATTTCATTTTTAACTGTTATTGATTTTTGATAGGTACGTAAGTAAATCTTTATCTTCAGTTCTGTATTATTTCTTCAATTATACATTAGCAAATAACAGTTTCAGGTCTGCAGTCATCAGAAATAGCAGTACTCATCAGATTTCTACACTAAATGATGTATATTTATTCTCATTTTCAATTACAGTTTTATAAAATGTATTTGCTTTGAATTACTTATTAGGAGTGATTATGGTAGAATCTAATGATCAGATTATTTTCAGAAGGAGTTTTGTGAAGATTTCAATAGTTGGAATTATGAGACCAATTAAAGCTAGATGAAACAGTCATCCAGTGCTTCCAAGTTTTACATGAGTGGTCTAGCATCAATTGACTCATGATTTCAACTATTTAGATTGTTTGTTACAATCTTAGAATTCTACAATTTCACTTCCATTCAATGTGTATATTAAAAGAAAAATTGCCTATATGTAATGGGGTATTTTCTTTCTAGAATATTATGTCCTATATGATTATCATTTATATAATATCAAGTTGATAATAATCTTTATTAATTAATTATTTGTATAACATAATCGTTTTAATTAAATTTCTACTCATTCAATTCATGTTAATTTTTTTTCTCCTGTGAAAAATGTATTCACATCAAGTTTTGTTCCAATCTCTGTACAAGCCAAAATATACAATAGTTCAAAATGGCCTATTATTGTTCAATTAGATATGAATGATAAGAATGAATTTCAGTAAGTTGTATGATTATTATTACATTCGAATTTGTAGATTATGTTGTGTATATTCCCTATGATAATTTTTTTTTACAATCAGACAGGGGTTTTGTAGAGATTGTAATAATTTGATAATTGAATTCATGAGTCAATTGAGGCTGGACTGTCATGGATAACCTGGAAGCACTGGATGACCGTTTGATCCTGCTGTAGGATTCCACATCAGTGTGCATTCACGATACCGCCCCTGTCGAGATTCGAACCCAGGACCTATCAGTCTCGCGTGCGAGCACCTAACCATTAGACCACTGAGCCGGCAGGCATCCAACGGTGTTAATGTTTAACTGATAGGTTCTGGGTTCGAGTCTCTTCTAGCGGGATCATGGATACACACTACTGAGGAGTCCCATACTATGATGGAACAACCTTTCAGTGCTTCCAAGTTTTCCATCGTGGTCTAGCTTCAATTCACTCATGAATTCAATTATTAAATATTTTTTACATTGAATAACTGAATAAATCATATTATTCAATGAGAATAAGTATTGTACATTAGATTTCCAGATTAGAAAACAGAAAAAAAGACAATCTGATATTAGATTATCAAACAGTTTTATATTCAGCGTTGTAACCGATATTGTTCATTTGAAATAGTCTAGTTTTTTGTATACATTAATTGATAGTGTTTTCACAAGACTCTGTATTGATAGAGTCCACATAGATGAATTGAAATGTTTGTAGGAAATCTATTCATTAGTTCATTCTTCATCTTCTAAGAAATCCTCATCAAGTTATTATTACTCTTTATTAATGATCTCTTATTGACTAATAGATATCGTAAATAATAACTTTAAAGTCTATATCATTATCTGATCGCTCTATCTTTCTCTGTTAACATGTCTGAATTCAGTTGTTCTGAGTATCTATGTAAACAAATTTTCACAATAACAAGAATAATAAAGTATCGGGCTGTGATAAAATAAAAAGTGTGCATTCGCTCTATGCTGGTGACTCTCATTGAAAGGAAATTGAAAAATCCAAATAAACCAGTTTAAATAATCTCGAAAGCATAAAACTTGCATTAAAAATGCAAACCACTAGTCCTTGATATAACTATTTTTCTCATTCCTGTTTGATGTATATTTCGTTTACTATGGTCCTCACATATTCGCTCATCACTTACCTACAACACCTCATTAAAGTATGTAATACATGTCAGTTGTTTTAAGATTTAAGACGGTGGTTGAATGTAGCCGACAGGATATCCTGAATGTAGATTTTTTGCTGTTTGGGAGTGGTCAGCAAGATATATTTTTTAATCTTAAGGAGACTAATGTTCCCTGGCGGATTCAATCCCATGCCACCCTCCTTCACACACGCAGACGTCAGTACTAAGCTATCTGGGTCGCGAGTCTGACCTCCTATAAGACTGAGATATGCACCTCATTGATGAGTGCCATTGTTTCCGATTGACTACTTCCAACCACCATCTCACCTCTTGAAATTATGCACGCGATATCAAGTCACCTAGAGTAGTTGTCACATTGTGACCTGGTCGATAGTAATCGATTTGCATTTTTTTTTTAAAACTAACACACATGACATTACTCATTACCCACTGATCAATCAATCAATTATATATATATATATATATATCCCTAAGACACGTTCCCATTACTTTCAGTAGATACTAACTGGTTATGTGAATATGTTTAAAATTTATTCGGATAGTATGATAAATTACGCTTAAGATTCTGAATTGTAATTTAATTTCATGTATTTCTTTATTGGTGTTCTATATGTATTTCATTCACAAAACAATTGAACCGTAACAACAAGTAAAGTTTAATTCATTGAAAATATTTTTCTGATGGACACTTATAGTTTAATATAATAATGATTGTCATATATTGATTATCACTGATAATTGTTTCCTTTTTAAAGGGGGAAAAACACTCATTCATTTGTCTCATCACTCACTTGATTAATGATAAAAGTACACTGAACGATTAGCCCCAAATACCATTCACAACTCAATTACTAACTAATTGACAAATATGGCAGAAGGATTTTTTTTCTCTTTTTTTTTCCACCAAGCAATATAAATAGTGATGTTTATATAAATAATAAATATACATTTCCATTGATTATTAAAATTTTGGTATAGTTCTGTTATAGGTCTCTATGAGGTTACAATTTATTGATTTCCACTTTGTATTATCATTTTTCTTAAACTTAATATTTCTCCATAGAATCACGTATTTTGATGGAAATTTAAATAATCCAAGTGAATTTTTGATGTGACAATAATTTTTATAAACGAACTAATCACCTACATAAGATAACAGATCTCGCTCGGATTTTGGCGCGAAATTCATTTATCCATTTGGCTAAATAAATTTTTGGCATTATAACTGATATCAGTTTGTGATTAAAATTTTAAATCTAATCCCTAACCCTAATCATCATTATTTAGTTATTTATTTGAACACATAAATACTGGTACAAGGGGGCACCAGATACATATTCGCCACACAAATCTCATTTGATATGTGTGAGGACTGTGATACTGACCACGTTCCCAGACCGAAGCAGGTGGTTTTCTTAGAGGGGACACACCTGTAACCTTCGACCTGAAAGTCTGATCCACAAGGCAGTGGAACATCGTAAGGAGATGCCGTCCTATGGTAGCCGGTGACCAACAATTGGTTCATACGCCATTTGTTCCTTCACGATAATGGAGCCCATGTACACCATTGGTTTGTAATCAGGGTTATTTTCCAACTCCCCTAGGTGGACTCTCCATGTCCACCAACCCGGTTAATGTGCCAGACATTCGCTTTTTGTCCACTTAATTTCGTAAACAACAGTAATGACACGAGAAGGTAGTGAGTAGGACTTCTCTGACAGAGGCTATATAATCATCAACTGTAAATCATAATTCTAATTCCTTATAACTCTCATTTGGTTCTTATTATTAGATGAACACTCTCAAGGTTAGTCTAGCATCGCTTAAAGGTCGTCCATAAATGATAGTCTCACCGAATTTTTTTCATTTCTAATCTGATCATAATAGATAATGGATATTACAGACATTTTATTCCGTGTTAATTTTATAATTCTGATTGTAAATAATACATAATCATGAATTTCAAAATACTTGACTCTATCATGACGTGTACAATTATTTACTACCACTTAATTGTATGAGTAGTCTCAAACTGTTCACTCTTATCATTTAGATTATTTCAGTGTTTAAATGATCTATTTACTAAAAATAAAACAATCATATGTGAAATAGAACTTTCTGTATTATATCACGTTTGTTGTACAAGGTTATGAATTTTGAAATAAATCTATATTCAGTTTTAAATGATCATATTCTATGACTCAGACCAGTCACTAACTTCGGGTCTGAGCCATGTTACTAGATGCAGACTATATGGTTGGGGTCCACATGACTATCGTAACCAATGTTTGGAGACTGTGGGTGACATGGCTCAGAATTGATCACAATGGCGTAAGTATGTATAGTCTCTGTCTTCCTTTAAACTATGAGATTAAAATCACTTCATATCTTTCTTCTTACCAACTAATTATTTCTACTTGTACTATGTTCTTATATGCAGTCTTTCTTTTATATAATACCACAATTGAATTAACTACTTCTATGAATTCAATGTTGTTGTGCAAATGAGGTATGGCAACTTGGGCCGATGCATCTATGTGCCTGGTCCTATGTTGTAGCTAACTGACTGATTCTATAACATTATATTGTTAGTTCATAGTATTCTTCTCAAATACTCTTTTGTTTATTAGACGTGAACCAATATCAGAAGAGGTCTTATCATCAACACTTGTAACAAATCAATCACAACATATTAATCCATTTCAAGTGTATAACTCATCATCATTGTCCCAATTGGAATCAATTTCTCGTGATATATCCTTTATTCCATCTCTTATATGGATTGGTTTAACTAAACAAGAATTTCATCTACAACCATATCAAGTTAAATGTTTAACATTAAAAGCTTTAGCCCCACAACTTGGAATTTATAATTTATGCACATTTAGTATAAAAGCAGTTCCATTATTATTATGTAATTCACATTCCAATCTAAATACAACAAATAAACCTTTGTTAATTGATCAAAATATATTTCCAATATTTCTTGTTAAAAATCATAATATGTTATCTTTAGTTATTGTAGAATAATTATTAGAAAGGAAAAACAACAACAGCAACAACATTATGTCCATGTAATCTAATCACTGTTTGTCATGTAAACACAATCATTAACAATGTGCCTATTCTCATTCAATGTATACAATAGATGATACAAGTAATAGTTGTTTCTTTTCTTTTTTTAAAACAATGTTATCGTGTCAATAAAGCATAATGATACTTTTAATTTTACTCGAATTGATGTTTAACTGTCTTATGATTTGTCTGTCTATTTGTTTGATTGTCTACATTTCAGTTAGTCTTAAGCATAGATGCATCTAGTGTATACATTTAAACTAATGCTCAAATGCTTCATATATATATATATATATATTGATTTTTCGCACTTCTATATTCTCACTTGTGAAATTTTGATAAAAATAGATGAAAGGTTTAATGAAGTAAATGAATGGAAAGTGGAATATCTGTACGTTTGTATTATATGTATCCATATGCAATTATCTTTAACCTTTTTGTTTTTCTATTCGTTGTAGTTTTCATTGTTTGGTTTTTGTTGGTGGTGATGAACACATTGACAGTGTAATCATAACTCTAATCATGTGTGATGCTACAAAAACTATTGATATTGCTACTATGTAATTAATTTTCCTTATTATGTCATTTACATTTCCTTCTCTCTAGTTTCTTTTTTTTTAAATATTTATTACTCTTAATCTGTAAACTTTCAATGTTGTATTTGTGCACACTCCTTGTGGTGTGGCTTATGTTTCGTCGGTGAACTTTCCAAGGTAGTTTCGTTTCTAATTTTCTTTGTAATTATTAATTTTGGAATTCTTCCTTGAGAAAAATAAATACATCTTACAATTAATTTATCACTGGGTGGTGATCAATGTCATGCTTGTCTAGTCCTTATTAATGCAGATCGAATGCTATCGATCATGTTGCAATGTGACCACCAGTTTAGGTGACACGACATTGCGGGCACTAGCATTCGATCTGCACTAATAAGGACTAGACAAGTATGACATTGATCACCACCCAGTGATCAATGAATTGTGATTACATCTCAGTCCTACAGGAAGTTAGTCACAGTTCGGGTAGCTCAGTGGTAACGTCTCTGACTGTGAAGCCGGGTGACACGAGATCGAATCCGCCAGGAAGCACCAGTCACTTCAAGATTGCAAGTACACCTTGCTGACGAGTGCCAAGTAGCACGAAACCGAGTCCAGGGTTTCCTGTTGACTACCTCCAACCACCATCTAAATCTCAATAAATACATCTTAATTGATATACCAATTAAACCAGGCAGATATTTCTTGTAAATTCAGTAATATTGTCAGTTGAACAATAAATTGTTTCTAATGTTTAAATTGAAACCGAAATTTCCGATCTCTCGGTGATTCAGTTCATCATTCAGAGCATTTTGTCTATTAGTCTCAACGAAAAATCCGCTACGTATGGACATTGATTCAAATTATCATACCTCATTAGCAAAGAGAAATAAAAACGTCAGACCAAATCCCAGAATGGTAAAGGTAGTAACAGTATCAGTGGTAATAGGAAAGATTAAATATTAAAGTCACGAAATTAAAGTCAGGAAAATATAAATTAATAAAATAAAAACTAAGGGTTACGGAGAATTTAGAATTTGGGGAAAGACAACGAATGGATGCACCTGCTCCATTGCAAACGATTTTGAGCCATATCATTCAAAGTCTCTAAGCACTAGTCACGATAATCACGTTGACACCAACCAGATAGTTTATACCTGTTAACATTGCGAAATCCAGTTGTCAATGGACTGATGTCATGTTTTGGTTTGGCGACTTCTAGCTTTTTTCAGCCCACTTCTACATCAGAAAACGTCACTCGTCGAGGTAGGTAGTCGATGAGCATACGTAACACATGTCCCAACGGCTTCAGTTAATCAAGATTTACCATCTCTTCTACCAATTTGGCGTTCTTAATGAATATTATATTCTTAACCCGGGCACTGTTTAGTCAGTGATCTCAAAGTACACGGGCTATGCTTCGAAGATACTTATGATCAAATACTAGTAACCTACAAATATCCTTAATGCCTAATGGCCATGATCAAATCTATAAGGTAGAGCGAAGTGAATTACTGCATAGTAAATCCGTCTTTTGGTTGGTAGACGGATGTCTCACTTACGCCACAGGTGACGCAATCGACAGAAGCCTTCTAAATCCGTGCCGAGATTTCGTGAGACGCCAGACCATCAGTACTAATGAGACTCCTAAGATAAACGATGCCTTCATGTACTTCGCTCCCTACCATTGATTCAGGCACTGATCCAAGCCTATCATAAAGCAACATTTGGTAACTGGAGGGGGAGGTTCATATCCTAAACATGCTGGTATTGTTCCTTAATATGATCAGAACACTTAGCATTACGTCAACGTCTGCACCAAATAGAATTATATCAACTGCACATCCCACGTCAACATATGAATCGCCTGGTAGAAATCGATCCGTGAAAAGTCACAAGGTGAAAGTGTTGTATCTAGAAGCATGTCCATGACAAAGTTAAACAAAGTCAGGAAAGCGAACCAATTCCGATGACAGTTCGCCATAAGCTCTGACTCGACCAGTAGTGTTCTAGGAGAGGGTCTGTACAAGGCCAATGTACTGCTTTGGTATACCTTCCAATGAAAGACTTCCACAGAACCTCACGATCAACAGGGTCTTACACCGCCTTAAGGTCAAGGAATACATCATCATTAGGTTGGAATCTAAGAGGTTATCTGGCTGTGGCCTCTCTACATTCAGCAAAACGCAGGCAAACACGTACTCAAACTAGACCATGATCTGAGTCTATACATATGCACAGGAATGAGCAACAGTCTTCTATCGAGCCTCCTACATCGGCTGATGGCAATGCGATTTTTTTAAATCTATCGTTGATTGTGAGGATTGCTACGTCAGACTATGTTTCTACTTGTGTCGCTGTTTGCTAGAATTAGACGACTATCTGAGCACAGTTGCAGCAGACGGTCGCCATTATCTGTCCACCGAGCAGCGACATCGTAAGACCCACCTAAGTGCCTTTCACTTTGGTCAAGTTTGCCTAATAAGCATTAGAGTCACCTGCCACTTCTCCTACATTGGAGCGTTTAACTTCTTGTAAAAGGTTGGGAAGCTTCACATAAATTCGATCGTTAGGCTCACCTGAGTTGCGAATAGTGGGAGCGTACACTGAAACAAAGAAGTGGCAAAGGCGTGTCTTTTCGAGTTCTTGCTGTCTCGTTTAGTCAGACAGCGCACAAGCGACTGCCTATTGAAATCCAGCCTAAGAGAACATGTTCTACTTTAGAACTTAATGCTATGCCTACATTAACGAGGCTACGGAAGATCACAGTGCAGTCTTCAGATACACATAAGGTTAACCGATCTGCATCAATATAATGACAACGAGAGGTCAAATAAATGACTATACTCAAATCCTGCGCGTTTTTGAAAACGCAGCTTGCATTGATAGCTCAAGAACCTAGAATCCCAGCTAAAGAAGTCTGTCATCCTATCTGACACAACGTTCGAACATTAAAAGCGTGGTTTCAGGAGTAACATTTTGTGATAAAGATAAATGAGGAGGATTAGTCGTGGAGTAGTGAAGAATGATTTCGCAGATACGATTTAGAAACGACTTACTGACTCAGTGAAACACTAGACGTTTTATTTGAAGTGTTCGGAATGTTGAGATCTACGGCGACGATAACATCAAGGCTATGTGGTCTGCTAAAAATACACAACACTAGTTTAACCATTCAACTCATTTTAGATATAAATAATCCAGTTTATCATACCAATAAAAACATGTAGTCTGGATCCGCCACATCCAAGTGTATTTATCAATTCGATTGCTCCTGTGGAGCCAGTTAAGGTGTACAGTTCGGAAAGTCCGTCATCGCATAGCAGATTGGTATTCGTCTTGGTTGAGTAGAGGACAGTCAAGAGTTTTAGTGTTCTATTTTTGTCCAATTAATGCACAAAGAATGTCAAGTTGACGTGAATGAAGTTTTTAGGTTATCCGCCATTTTCTATTAAAGTTACAACACGTTTAAGAGCTCGTCTTTCGTATATTACCAAAGCCATCGAAATCCACTTTCACAAACCTAATCTTTACATTTAAAAGAAGTTTGTACAAACGCTCTTGTTACCTAGACCATCGACATAGAAGTGTGTTTATATAAACTTTGATTATTCCCGTTCACCCGGGGGCCATCCTCAGTTTTATTTTTATAAGGTTGACTTAGTCGATAAAATGGTAAATACCATAAACGGTTTGCTGTTAGTAATAGTAAATTTTCCACGAAACAATGTTTTGTAAGCATTCAACATTACTGTTAATTTTATTATGTGATACAAACTACAGTTCAGGACTTCTTACCACCCGAAACCTTTTAAAAATTTAAACTCAGCTTTATGACAGTTTAAAGCAAAGCCATTGAGCATAATTTCGAGAACAACTGGACAATATGATTACTTAAACTTTTTACGCGATCGCAAGTTATATGCAAATAGCATGAAAATTCCTATATAATATTACTATACAGATGATGTCATAGTTAATAAATTATCAGTTATTAGACAGTTGATTTGTTGTTTATCTGTAACTGGACTGGAAGCCTAAAACATTACACAATATATCTTGCCTCCAATGTCGACATTTCAGTCTTTCTACCGAGAAAATACTGAAAATTAAAGCCCGTTATTTTTTTCGGGTCCCACCTGAAAATTTGACGGCTTCTTATAATTAGCGAAACTCGGAAAACCAATTACAGATTTAAGTATGATGAAACATACAAGCTGCACGACATCACTAACATTAATTCTACTTCGTTAAACTTGTTTCTGCTCTACATGTTAAGTATATCAAACAATGGACATATAACAGCTCTAAACAATAAAGAACGACCACCACTGAATTCTAAAATTTGTGAGGGCATTTGATTATTATCAAATAATTACAATTAGCAAAGCAAGGACAGCATTCTTACAGTTGAAGAACATATGGAACTCAAAACAACCTTCAACCAATATCAAAGTCAAAATCTTCAATACGAATGTCAAGGCAGTTCTACTGTATGGAGCTGAAACTTGGAGAACTACAAAAACCACCATCAAGAATGTACAAGTATTTATAAATAGTTGTCTTCGCAAGATACTCAACATCCATTGGCCGGATACCATCAGCAACAGCCTTTTGTGGGAGAGAACAAACCAGCTTCCAGTTGAAGAGGAAATTAGGAAAAGACGATAGATATGGATAGGACATACATTACGCAAATCGTCAAACTGCATCACGAGACAAGCCCTAACTTGGAATCCTGAAGGGAAACGGAAAAGAGGAAGGTCAAAGAACACATTACGTCTGGAAACGAAAGCAGATATAGAAAGGATGAACAACAACTGGAAGGAGCTGGAAAGAATTGCCCAGGACAGGGTTGGATAGCGAATGCTGGCGAACGGCCTATGTTACTTCACGAGGACTAACAGGCACAAGTAAGTAATTACAATTAAAAGATATAAGAAATTAAAACCAACATACAATTCAGTTAGAAAATAATAAATTTTGAAAAGTGGAATTAATCATTTATAGAGAACAGAGAATAGCAGAAATCCTCTCAACTTCGTGATACAACCGCCTATTCATGTTGTTGTTAGTACTTTAATTTCAAATAAACTCTGGTACGTTTGTCACCCCAAACGAATTCAACTTTTAAATAATTATACTCAACGAAATACGTAATTAATGTGTGAAAAATAATCGTTTTATGTAGAGATAAAATGAAAATATTCGACTAGTACATGGTGAAATTAGGTAATAATAAAAGTATACCATGACATAAAAGTCTCATGAATTGTTAAATTAATTCTCAGAGCCTAAATATCATTTCTATTCAATATCTACCACTAGAATGAATCTAAGTGATGAACCTTTAATTTCGAAGTGATTCAATCCCACACTATATGGGTTGTGGATGAACTTCGAAGTTTTTTTTAGAAAATCTTCGCATAATTGTTTTTTTGGCAGTCCTACGGGAGTTCTAGCATACTTAGCTTTGATGAGTTTAAATTTAAATTATCAATCACTCTACTTAGTTTAATTTAACCGGATAACTGTTCACCGGACTAGTTGTATAGGAAAGCCAAAAAGCTAAGACATGCTTATAAGTATGAATTGTTCGAACCCATAATGAAGCTTACAGGATCAATCAGGAAGTGACAAGATTATATCAATTAGTAAATATAGACGTAAATAAATAAACCGTTAATGATACTTATCAATCAAAATGACGTCCGACCGGTTTGGGCAATCTAGCGTCCTTATTGATCTTTTGTTCACTTAACCCGTCCAATTGACTGCAGAACACCATTAACAGCTCCCACTATGCGAATCATTTATTTCAAACATACTTGGTTTATAAATAAAAATAATATATATTTATTTATAACAATCAACCCAATGCTCAATTTATTCGAAATTATCAAATCAAACCTTGGTAATGACACCTATATACTTGGTTTATGTACCAGCCGAACAGATCTCATCGCACCATAAAATAGGAAGTAACATTCATACACAAATAAGCCAAAAAGTAGCTGTGAACGTGGGAGACAGTAATTAATAAACTGAGTATAACATAAGGACAGTAAATCGTACAATAATAATCTATAGGTTAAAACGAAGCTTATAATAAGAGGAATATAGATATACATAATCTAATTACTGAATAGTTATAGAATAAGAATATGTAGATAATATTTGTCCATTATTAGGTCTCAGAAGTTACTCGTAATTTAATCCTTACTAGGATATAACAAATTCGAAGCAAATGACCTACTTATGATGGTCCATAATGTGAATATGAAACTTAAGGAATAAAATGCAGTCGTGCCGCCCACCCCACCCCCCAAGTCACCTACCTGATTCATATGAACAATAAGAAATAAAATTTACACAAAAATTGGTTCACTTGAAGAGATCAAACATTTTTCAAGATATTACACCTCAGATTTAATAACTAATTAGTTGGAATAGTGAAGCAAGATACATACAAATACATAACACATCACAATAAATATAACAAATTTAGTGATATAAACATACCCTTTAATAAGATGATTAATTACCCTTTTTTTTTTTTTTCACTTTTAATACATGATATATTATTCGGGTTTTTTTTTATTTAACCACAGAAAGAAGAAAAAAGAACAACAACAACAATAACAACAAAAAGTGTAATTATCTCAAAGTAAATTAAAACAAGTACCCACCTTTTTAAGTTTACACATGTCTTGATGAGTATTCTAATTCAGTTGAAAAACTTTTTATGGAAATTTGTTGGAATATTTTTTTTTAAGCATGAAAAGTGGTAAAAATAAAATATTGAATAACTAACTAGAACAAATAGTATTAATCTTTTATCAATACAGAAATGTATAATAAGTAAAGATAAACATAAACGCACATACAAACTGAGAAAAAAAAAATGTCTGAGAAAGTATATGAATGAATTTTGAAGAAATTTCACGCAATGATAATGATAAGAATTATTACTATTATTATCAATGATTCAGCATAACTATAGTAGTAAGTTTGCATATCATTTACAAAACAAAGCGACCCACAAAGAGACCAATGATTAAAGCTGTGATTAAATATAAAATCGGTGGGATGTTACTAAAAGTATCAGCTCTGGCTTGATTATGATGACGGCTTCCATTGATAGGCATTGATCTGGCACCAGATTCGGTAGGCATTCGACATGTATCTGAGACAGCTGCTGTACGTCGTAAATGGAGATCCGATTCCTATGAACAATTACAAACGATGAATTGGAAAATAAATAAATAATAATAGATTATTTTAAAAAGTCATGACATTTGTTGTTACACTACTACTCTATATGTTTCAGGTAACAAAAGATGAATTTAAATAAGTTATAATACCTTTTCTATGAAGCTACATCATGAGACAAAGTTATGAGTTAAAAACTAAATAATCAACTAGTTGTTAATTTATCTACACATGTTGTCTCCCTCCTTCACAAAACCATAGGACATTTACAGATCAAGAATAATTACATTCATTTAGACTAGTGTAACATTATATTTAACTTATTATCATTAACCAGATAATCAACTTAAGAATGTTAGTAAAAACAATAATCAGACTTAATTTGGTAGCTTCATTTACTTATTCATTTGAAGTATATGAAGATCTATACGAAATTATGTCTACAAGGTACCTGATGATAGTCTCCGGACAGAAGTCAACACAGACGCTTTCATACAAGATAATTTGTAACTCAGAGTATATATACACAATAAATATGAAATATCCAAATAAATCAAGACAACAGACAACCCTACTATAAACTAGACATGTATGTTATTCCAGTCATACCTTTGTTTATTTTCAGTTGAAAAATGCTGTGTATTAGTTTGGATATAATTTGGAAGTGACAAGCTGAAAACATAACAATAATACTGGACTCCTTATAAAAGTAATTGAGATATACATCTTTGTCAAACTGTTTTTGAAGGCAAAGCGATCAACTAGTAAAAGAAGCGTTGATGATTAACTGTCTTTAGTATAACATCAGAATAACATTGTTGCAGTGGGGCAAGAGTTAATTGTCACTACGTGTCTTGTGACCTTTATTTTCCACTTTGATCACTCATTTGTTGTATGTTAAGTATTTCAACTGGATACTTTCTAAATGGACAATAATTGTTTCAGTTTTCTAACATACTACTTCTACTACCTGAGTCACATTATGTTATCAAATTAAGTAAACCATAACACCAGAGACAAATTGATCCAATCGGATATAAACGTGAATTATCTTTAGGGTTTGTTATTTATAATATGTATTGTTAGGTAGTGGGGTTTGTAACAATCAATTCAATTTAGCTCATTAAAAAGCCCTCGAATAAGTTAACACGAAAAGAGATGGTACATGATGGTTTCACTGTTTTAAATAAATGATTGCTCAAGTACCGAGTCAAGAGTTTTAACTTAATTAATTATTAGGCAAATTATTCATATCAGAATTTTTCTGATATTTGATAATTGTGTGAAGGCTATACCTCTTCAGAGACTTAATGGCTTTACACATTAAAGCATTTTTAACTAGTAACAGCATCCAATTCATAATTTCTTACCACAATTTGTCTGAAGCATAGAGATTTACGATATATAGATAAAAGAAATTTTTCATTGGTTGAGCACTGTGGATAAGTAACTTTGCACTCGGAGCAAACGGAAAAATCCACTTCCGTCAGTCGGCTACAACGTAGAACCAGGTACATAAATGCATCAGTTCAAGTAGCCATAACTCATTAACACGACAAGATGGACATCTAGTTTATAGAAGTGGTTACTCCAAAGGTAGCAATGTATAATAAAAAGATTGCATATAAGGATATAGTACAGAAAGAAAGATATGAAGCATTTTTAATCTCATCGTTTAAAGGACGACAGAGAGTGTATACACCTAAGCCATTGTGATCGATTCTTAGCCATGTCACCAAGAGTCTCCAACCATTGGTTACGATAGTCACGCGGACCCCAACCAAGTAGTCTGCATCTACCAACATGGCTCAGACTAGAGGTTAGTGACTTCAAGCACCGATGCCGCATTTTGGTTTGACCGCCTCTTACTGTCTTCCAGCCGTCCCCAACACTAGTCAGCATTGCGCGTCGTAGTAATCGGTGTTCAGGTATACGCAACACGTGGCCTAACTATCTTAGTCGATGATGATTCACAACCTCATCAACTGATTTACCATCATCCCCTAATACCTTGAGTCTAACCTAACTATTACTTACCGGGTGATCCCAGCAGACGCCAGCAATATCTCTAAGGCATCTGTGGTCAAATACTAGTAGCTTACAACTATCTTCTACTCTTAATGGCCATATTTCGCAGTCGTACAATAGAACAGAACGAACTGCCGCGCAGTATACGCGTCCCTTAATTGACAGACGGATATCTCGCTTTCGCCATGCGTGACTTATGTTGGCAAAAGCCAAACGAGCTTTCTGAACAGGTGCAGAGACTTTGTCAGACACCGACCCATTAGGGTTGATCAGACTTCCAAGATAAGTGAAGTTGTCGACGCTTTCGACTACTTCACTCCCTATCCTTAGTTCAGGTGTTGACACAAGACAGTCCTGAAGCAACAATTTGCATTTAGAGGAGGAGAAACGCATCCCAAACATTTTGGCATTGTTGTGCAGTGCTACCAAAAGATTCTGAATTTTGTCAGCGTCTTCACCAAACAGGACTATGTCATCTGCGTATTCTAAGTCGATAAGTGGATCTCCTGGTAGGAGATCAATGGCCGAAGATTAAGTCAATGAAAAGGTTGTTTAAATCAGTGTGCCAATGACGAAGTTATACAAAATGGAGATAGTGGACAGCCTTTATGGACACCACTTGAGGTCGTAAAATCAGATGACAGTTCGCCATAAGCTCTCACTCGACTAGTAGTGTTCGAGTAAAGAGCCTTCACAAGGTTTATGTACTTTTGAGGTATGCCTTTCAATGACAGACATTGCCACAGAACCTCTCGGTCTACAGAGTCAAATGCCGCTTTTAAGTCAAAAAACGACCACCATTATCGGACGACGATAAGCATGCCTGTGTTCTAGAACCTGACGAATGGTGAGTATGTGGTCAATGCAGCCACGACCAGGTCTGAAGCTAGCCTAATTTTCACGTGTTTGTAGTTCACGAGTCTTAGTTAGGTGCCCGATAATTATTGAGGCTAGTATTTTAGATGATATATTAGTCGAACTAATCCCTCTATGTTTGTCACAGGATGATCTTGACCCATTCTTATGTATCGGGACAATAAGTGATTGTAACCAGTCAGATGAGACTACGTCCAGCTCCCAGATTCTAGCTAAAACAATGATCAACCTGATCGCTAAAATTCGACCACAATACTTAAGGACCTTTTGAGCCAATCCATCTGGACCAGCTGCTCTTCCTCGTTTCAGATTAGCTATATGTTTTTGAACTTCAACTAGGGTCGGGGGAGCTACTTCAATGTTACATTCACGCTGTCTGGGAATGGTGGGTAGTTGTCGATTAGCTGAAGGCCAGCTAAACTGTTCCGCGCATCGCTCTAAACGTCTGGGCTGAGAACAGATAAGTGTCATCTTTTCCCAAGATAGTCTGACTTACACCTGACTTATTAATTAGTTTCTTTTATTAGTCTGAAGAGCTGTCTTGTATTACCTATAGCCGTTGCCTTTTCCATCTCATTTGCTTTCGTTGCTCACTACTGCTCACGGTTGTTCCTTAGGCTTTTGGTTAACCTAGATCTGATTCGCTTTTGCTCTTCATCATGTTCACAGCCTGATGGGATGAGTTCAAGAGGATCCATTAGTGCAAATCCAGCAGGATTTTCCACAAGATAAAGAACGATGAAATGCCTTAGTCATACAAAAAAGTAGAGATCTGTTTAATTTTACACATAAGTGTTTTTAGATTAGATTTCATCGATCACAATCCTTACCTTGACAAGCAATTTTATTTGGTATGTGAGTGGGCTGAAAAAAGCTAGAAGTCGCCAAACCAAAACATGACATCAGTCCATTGACAACTGGATTTCGCAATGTTAACAGGTATAGACTATCTGGTTGGTGTCAACGTGATTATCGTGACTAGTGCTTAGAGACTTTGAATGATATGGCTCAAAATCGTTTGCAATGGAGCAGGTGCATCCATTCGTTGTCTTTCCCCAAATTCTAAATTCTCCGTAACCCTTAGTTTTTATTTTATTAATTTATATTTTCCTTTCGAGTCGTGAGTTTAATATTTAATCTTTCCTATACTGTTACTACCTTTACCATTCTGGGATTTGGTCTGACGTTTTTATCAATTGATGAAGTAGTGAAACTTCATCAGTTGAGATGGCTGGGACACGTGTTACGTATGCCCAACCACCGACTACCTCGACGTGCTATATTCAGTGGTATAGGAGTAGGTTGGAAGAAAGCTAGGGGCGGCCAAACCAAAACATGGCACAAATCCATGAAGTCACTGACAAGTGGACTGAGTCATGTTGGTAGGTGTAAACTACCTGGTTGGGGACCGCGAGATGATAGCAACCGATGGTTAGAGACCCTGAATGACATGGCTCAAAATCGTTTGCAATGGCGCAGGTGCATCCACTCTCTATGTTCTCCCAAATTCTAATCTGAATTCTTCATGTCCTTTTTTTTCCTCTTTCCAAATTTATTTCACTGGATTATACTCGTTAAATAACATCTCCAAACCCTAATCTTCCCGATTACTGCTTATACTCTTGCTACCTCTACCACTACGGGATTTGAATCGACCACTGCATCTCTGTGCTAATGTGGTATGGCAACTCGAACTGATGTACGTACGTACGAAGTTCTACGTTGTTACTGACTGACTGACTTTTATTTCTCTTTGCTAATGAAATATGACAATTTGAACCAATATACTAGGTGATACTTCGTGATGGATAGGATAAATTATGCCTTAATCCTAGCTTAATTTTAGATTAGTTGGCCATGATACCAGGACAAGAGCAAACACAAGTAGCTCCATAAGAAAACTACCTGCCTTGGTTTGGGCGCTCGGGTAGTAGTCCAGCTCTCACACAAATCAAATGACGAAGTGTGGAGTATGTATATTTGGTGTCTTCTTGTACCGACGTTTGTGTTGAAATAAGTAAATAAATGGAGTAATTAGGATGAAATAACATTCCGTAACATGTAAAAGCCTGGGGAATTTTCTGTTTATTCGTCGTAAGCGAACAGCCAAATCATTAGGTGTGCCTGATGTCTCGAAATTTAAAAAAATACGCCACAAAAACTATGCTTTGACACAATTAAATAACAGGATACCATGGTGTATGGTGGTAAACGGTAGCTAAATTAAACAACTGAATGTTTGTAAGGTAATTCGACTCCTCCGAAGTTTATGAAAATTGTTTGCAAAGTGATACTTACTAAGCCAGCTTCCAAAGATCGTATTTAGGAAAACAAAAAAAATTCAGATTTATATTTCCAACAGGACATAATATTACCTTCAGTGCAGCATTTTCTTGGCGAAGAGCAGATATTTCAGCCATTAACTTTTCGATATCCGTCTGGGTCGCACCAGTATCATGTACAGGTTTCTAAAAATGTGCGTTAGTAAGTTTTTCACTTACAGAAGACGCAGTTTGTTGTTTGCTAACTTCTATCCTTTCCACCTAAACATTTAGAATAGAACAGAAACCAACTTACAATGCCTGTGTTTTTGAACACACATTTTAGGTAATAATCCGTCACCTTTCCTTCTTTAATCAAAGCCTATTGTCTTAATTTTTTTAAAATAAACTCACTGTTTGATCTTTTTTTGGATCTGCTTCTTCCGCAGAAACGGCAGATTGAATTAACATTCTCTCACGATTTTTTGCTGTAAAGTCGAAATCATCGGGATGAAACACAACTATACAATATCGTAACGAAAAAATGTATCATACCTGAGACCTCCAAATTTTCATGGGGATACATAACACCTGTACTGGGGGTGGCAAAAAAGTGATCTGGGGACGATGCGCTAATCTTAAAGCAAACAAACTGTGAAGAAGGGTTGGTCAGTTTCACAATAGATGTAACAGGTCTCACAAAAGGACCTAACTGAGTTAATACATAAAAACAAAGAAAATAACCTTCGAAGACTAAATCCCGGCTAGGTTCAACATGAAGCTCATCAGGCAAACGCAAAAGACAAAAGAGCCGTGAATCCATGAGCTTGCTAAGAGGTGCATCCTTCCACTTAGGAAATAAATACTTAAGTTCTGGCTAATTACATACCAACTGCTCCATGGCAGGGCGAGGGTCATCAGGAGCAATGATAGACTGAATCATGAACTTATGATTAAATTTTTCTGCGGCATTGTAACTGAACGGCTGGAGCATTACTGAAAAATAAATATTTACCCCAGATACAAGCACAAAACAAACCTGCAACTTCTACAGTTTGATGAGGTTCTATATATCCGTTGCTTGGTTTTACACAATAACATTTCGGCACTGTTGTCTTGATCTTAAACCCGACAGCTCGGTCCAAAGGATTCGTCAATTTGATATAAGAAGTTACTACATCGACGAAAGGACCTACACAGAAGCCATATAAATGATATTAATAATTTCGATAGGAAAAAATACACATAATTGGAATGAGTTGTTGATGAGAAAAAGACCAAAGCGATTTCTGAGTCAAAAATTGGCTACCGAGTCAATGGGAAACACGTTAAAGGTTTCGGATACCGCTACAAAAGACACGTTTACCTTGTAGCCAGATAGGTTGGGACACCAGAGAGTTGTGACATTCAAACACCAAAAACATGAACATAAATTTCAACACAACTCATTGGCCAGGAACAGGTTTACGTATTCAGCTTTCGACCACACTTCTGAGCACTGACGACACTACCCGGTCGCTCAAACTAAACTGAAGTGTTCGAATTCGCGACTTGTTGTTTTGATCCCAAAAGCTAAAACCACAACACCACTGCTTCATTAAATTAGAATTAGAAAATACTAGTAAAACTCTACGAAGTTTTTTCAAAGTGTCTGTACAGATTTGCTTTTTGGTGAATGTGAAGCAGCGATGAAAAGTGATGCATGTATTCCTGGGATACCCGAACTGAAATCCAAGCAACAGTAGGAATTACTACTGGTAACCACATACAATATTAAGCCAAATATGTCTATAAGGCATGAAGGGACATGATAAAAAGAATTTAGAAAGGCTAACAGAAAGCCAGGAATATAAGTACGTTGAAATTACGGGTTTTTGATCAGAAACGTGTTAGGAGTACTTGTTCCAGAGAATGAACGAGTGACTATGAACAACCTGAATAACACTTCAAAAGTGTCTAGGATGTTGATCACTCGCTAAAAGTTAAAAATGTTGATTAAGAATAAGTTCATATCAGTCTGGTTAGACTGTAGGAAGCATATTAATCATAGCATCTACATGAGAAGTCTTAGCCCAGGTAAGAAGGTAGTTGGAAAAACCATGAGACTCGTACTAAGAGGTCGTTTGACTTTTTCCAACTCCACTTGCGCCATAAACGAAATGTTCACCAACCTACACAGAGCTAATTTACTACGAAGCGAAATGTATTGCATCACTTGGTGGTGTCCTCTGAGGTGAATAGTTCAGTAGTGCAGCTTTCACACTCTCAAAATCATCGGTAACCACCTTGACTACCACCAAAGTCCTCTTTCAAAGCTACGAATATTTACTAACCCAGATCTCACTGGAGTCAGGTCTAGGGACACTAAAGTGGTGATCCCGTTTTCCAACTATATGCGCCCTGCAAATCTGCGCAGACGGTGAACATATAGAACTCTAAGTGTCCCGTGGACAAACTAAGTGGCCAACTTAATCGACGAGAAACTCAAATGACTCAATCTCTAATGTTACCCATTCATCGAAGCCAGCTCAATCTATAATCCGACGCACTCAGCATAGCCTGTGCGACACGACATGGACATACTCAAATCGTATTATCCTATCGATAACTTGTCCTCATATCAACTCTTCTAAATGATCCATCCAGAGGTTTGTTCCATTCTGATTTAAATAATTATCACATTCTCATTAACACATTAATGTCATTATCACATAACGTGGATTAAGTTGATTACATATACGAGGATAGACGACATAACATTCATACGATCCAACTGGAGTCAGATCCCAGGTTACTGAAAATATTCCCAATTTTTTCCATTACTTAAAATTGTGAAAAATACTATAGAGGTAGCAGGCATCGATGTGAGACTAGTCTTTGAACACTAATATCTTCAGATGATTGATTGTGTACAGTGCAACTGTCTAATGGATGCTGTAGGCGAAAAATACCACGTATGAACCGATCAGTGAAGCCATGGACGCTTATCATCCCAAATAGTTGTGACTCAAGAACAGCTACCACTGTGCTGTATCATGGTAATTTGGGAGAACGTGAGAGATGACCTGATTAAAATGCCACTCCATGGAATCATTAAGGGCTGATCCGGATTGTGTAGGCAATATTAGAACTCCTGGAGGGGGTCAGTAAGATGGATGCCATTTGCGGTCGCATACCTTAGCTAAGATGGTTTTCAAGTAGTAGTCGTGGTCCAAACCAACTTAGTTTTGCTTATCACATAATAAGTCACGTTTGATACTAAGACGTAATTACAAGCAATGGAAATACTATGTATAAATTTAACATGATAGAACGGAGTTAAATGATATTAAGTAATATTATAAAGGAACCCTTTCGTCCCATCCGAGGGTAAGGAATATGATTTTATGTATTTCTTGCGTTAACCGGTATTTGAAAAAACATCATGAAAACTCCAACCCTACTCTCAGTTTTGTTTCTCTCATATATTTGAGTAATTTGTAATGTCCAGAAACCAAGAATAAATAGACCCATTTTGATTTCTTTACACGGAAATCGGATAACTAAGTAATACGAATTGTATGTATTAGTATACAACACCTGATCCCCTACTATATGGATATCGAAGACTACGTTAAAACTTCACTGAGAGCAAATCATCTTAAATGACAGACTTTAATAACTACCTTCAAATACCAGTTCACACTTCGGCTCAATCTGCAGCACTTGTGCAGGGCAACCTGCCATTCGAAAATAGACCTCAGACACCACGAAACCGAAACTTCCAACTCGCAACTGATTAAGTCAATTCGGTGCGCAAACAATATAGAGGAGAAAAATAATTTCGATCACAAATCAGTATTATAAAGTCACAGCACCTTTTATGATTTTTTTTGGTATGGATTATTTTGTCAAGGCAGGTCAATATTCCAATGGAAGAATACGAAAGAAAGAAGCTAGTGCATGGAGGATCTACATGTTTCAATTATAAACACGCTACGAGTGACTTCATATTGTTTGAAAATGCTTATAAAAAACTGGTGTAGCCCCCAATGCATGAGTAAACTAAAGCAATATGTCTTTAGTGATAAATAAATCCCCAAAATAAATGACTTTGTAAGTCTTTGACATTTGATGCTGGCCACATCAGCTTTAATGGACTCACCTAGCTGAAGGGGCTCGGTCATGCGTCCGCATCATATCACAAGTGGGTACGCCGTACTACATATCTCCTACGACAACTAACCAGATTAGATTGACCACTTCTCTACATATCAGCAGCCTATCAAATGTATCTTCGGACATCTTCGCTTCCGAATTTTTATTTGACTGGGTTGGTGTATTTCGATTATAAGAGGTGTTACTGGTTAAGGTGTCGTCGAACTTCGGATACTTGAAGCATTGTTAATGGTGAACCCAACGTGTGCTGGTACATCAATTTGTAAGCTGTGAATTTATTCCCTGTTGGGACTTGTAGTGTCAGTTATTACTTTAAGCCCGTAATATATCTTATTCTAGCTTTTGGACAAACCAATCTATTCATTCTACCTGAGTCATATTTTGACCTTGTCAATTATTCGCTTGTCAGTCTTGACTGATTTTATATAAGCGTATATGTGTGTGCACATCATATCCCAGGACTCATTGCATGTCTGTAGCTTTATTCTGTCTGACTATAAATATTGAGTAACGCTTGACTAAAATGGAGTTGGCTTCCCAGCCATCTTCCCTGCGCGTCATTTTGCTTTGCTCTGTTTCATTGCCTTCATATACAAAAAATATGTATGCACAGATCAATTCTCGTTATTTAACTTATTTAATTCCATTATTGGCTAACGCGATTAAGTCGACGATTATAAACGAGAATAGGCGATAACAATCATTCATACGATCTTGGAGTCAGATCCACGGGCCACTAAAGACTTTATATATCATTTTCACTTTGGTTTTTATGTACTTTGATATACTGTCTAGTATTTTTGAAATTTTTCTTGTTCATTGCCATACTCTGCCTGTAGTTCTTCTAGAGTTACTGCCGGTCCCAAGCCCGAGTAAAGTAGGAGGGTTGGGCATGGGGTTAGCATCCCCATCCCGTAGAAAACTAACTCGCTAAAAAACGCCTACCAGAAAAAATAATTTAAACCATTTTAACTCTGCCCTGGGAGTTAGAACGTCTTCTTTTAGAAGAATTATGACACTTCATGGTGAAAGCCGAGTTACTTCGGAAGCCACGAGGCCGATGCCCCTTCTAACAACCAGAGCAAAAAATTTTGTAAGTACATGGAACGTTCGAACAATGTTGGAGACCGGGAAAACCAGTCAAATAGCAACGGAAATGGAGAGATACAATTTGGCAATACTGGGAATCATCGAAACCCACTGGACCCAAGCTGTACAGAAAAGGCTAGCTACGGGAGAGATGCAGCTATACTCCGGTCACGAAAAGGAAAATGTTCCACACACTCAAGGAGTTGCTCTAATGCTGTCCAAAGTAGCACGAAATGCACTTGTAGGATGGGAATCTCACCGATCAAGAATCACCAAAGCATCATTAAAAACAAAGAAGGAGGGGATCTTAATGAATATTATCCAATGTTATGCACCCACCAATGATAGCAACGACGACATTAAAGATCAATTCTACGAGCGGCTGCAGTCAATCATAGAGGAGTGTCTAAGAAAGGACCTTAGCATTGTGATGGGAGATCTAAACGCCAAAGTCGGAATAGACAACACTGGATATGAAGATATTATGGGACGACATGGACTGGGACAGAGAAACGAGAATGGAGAAAGATTTGCAAATCTATGTGCATTCAACAAATTGGTCATGGGAGTCACAATATTTCCACACAAGCGTATACACAATGCTACATGGATCTCACCGGACCACACTACAGAGAACCAGATAGATCATATTTGCATCAACAAAAAATTCCGAAGGACAATGGAAGATGTGAGAACCAGGAGAGGCGCTGACGTAGCTTCGGATCACCACCTAATTGTGGACAATTTAAAACTGAGGCTAAAGAAGAACTGGACAACTGTACAAACAGCACTACAAAGGTTCAATACAGCCTTCCTTCGAGATACTGACAAACTCAATGATTTCAAGATAGCTCTCAACAACAGGTTCCAAGCCTTACAAGATCTACTGAAAGGAGAAACTACTATGGAGGATAACTGGAAAAGTATCAAAGAAGCGTTAACTTCAACGTGTCAAGAGGTTCTGGGTCTAAAGAAACACCATCATAAGGAGTGGATCTCTATAGAAACATTGAACAAGATCAAAGAAAGGAAGAACAAGAAGTCGGCAATTAACAACAGCCGAACACAAGCAGAGAAAGTCCAAGCACAAGCTGAATACACAGAAGCAAGCAAGCAAGTGAAGAGGAGCATTAGAGCCGACAAGAAAAAATACGTGGAAGAACTAGCAATGACGGCGGAAAAAGCTGCTAGAGAAGGAAATATGAAACAACTTTACGATACAACGAAGAAACTATCAGTGAAATACAGTAAACCAGAGAGACCGGTCAAAGACAAAGAAGGCAAGTCAATCACTGAAATTCAACGACCGCGGAACAGATGGGTAGAATACTCCTGAATAGGCCGGCTCCAATTATTCCACCGGACATCGAAGCGGCACACACAGATCTTCCCATAGACGTCAACCCACCAACGACGGAAGAAATCAAAACGTCCGTCAAACAACTTAAGAACGGGAAATTAGCTTGACCGGACAACATACCAGCTGAAGCACTGAAGTCAGACATCGGAGTAACTACAAAAACATGCTTTACCCTCTATTCAAAAAGATTTGGGAGGAGGAACAAGTGCCGATGTATTGGAAAGAAGGACACCTCATCAAGATTCCAAAGAAAGTAGATCTGAGCAAATGTGAAAACTACAGGGCCATTACACTGCTGTCAATACCAGGGAAGGTTTTCAACAGAGTGTTGCTGAACCGGATGAAAGATGCAGTAGACGCCCAACTTCGAGATCAACAAGCTGCATTCCGTAAGGATCGGTCGTGCACAAACCAAATTGCAACACTACGGATCATCGTCGAACAATCAGTTGAGTGGAACTCATCACTATACATCAACTTCGTTGATTATGAAAAGGTATTTGACAATGTGGATAGGAGGACGTTATGGAAACTTCTACGATACTACGGAGTTCCTGAGAAGATTGTCAATGTTGTCCGGAACTCATACGACGGACTACAATGCAAAGTCGTGCATGGAGGACAGCTGACAGATGCATTCCAAGTATGGACCTGAGTAAGATACGGCTGTTTACTCTCTCCCTTCCTCTTTCTTCTGGTGGTCGACTGGATTATGAAGACCTCGACATCTGAAGGAAAACACGGAATACAATGGACAGCTCGAAATCAATTAGACGATTTGGACTTCGCAGATGACCTAGCACTCCTATCGCATACACACAAACAAATGCAGACAAAGACAGCCAGTGTAGCAGTAGTCTCTGTATCAGTAGGCCTCAGGGAAAACCAAGGTCCTCAAATTCAAGACGGAAAACAGCAATCCAATCACTCTTGATGACGAAACTCTGGAAAATGTAATAATAATAATAATAATAATTTATTCTCAAATAACAGTTTGTTACATGAGGCATGCCAGTTTACAGGCAAGATCAAATTGATACAAATGATACAATATACACTGCAATAAATTACATAGCTGGGTTGATAATTTATAAGATATGAATGTCGATGGTTTAAATCAGTACTACAGTTGGCGCGCTTCATGAAAGTCGCGTTGCGAATGTGCGACTGATGGTCAAGAATAGGTCCATTGAAGATATGGGCTTCTAAAAATCGCAACCTTATTTCCTTCTGGGATATCCAAGGCTTTAAGGATGGTGCAGGATGAAGTCACCAGTTCCATATCTCAAGGGGGCTGAAAGAGGGAACAAGTAAAAGAAAACACGAGAGGCAGAGTAGCCAATATTCATGAAAGAATGCTTAAGGTATGATTACTCAGTCTAATTTTCCTTTATTAAGGTATATGTTAAGAAAGAGCATTTTAATAAGTTATAGAAAATAAGTGTTGACAAGGTGTGAGTGGACATACAACTGACAAATGGGGGCGATTCGGAAAAGAGCTGGGAGTATAAGATTATGTGTGATTATAAAATAAAATATAGTGCTAGAAACAGTATTGTGATATACATTTGGCTGTCTTCCCTTTAATATCGAAGCTATTAGAGCCTCTTTCGTTTTTTTTTAAAAATATTTTTCCCCCAGTTATTATAGGGTCTTGATTAGGCTTCGTATATTAGCGAATTGTCTAGTTTGCTTGTAATAGGATTTCTAGGTAGGAAGTGAAACTAATTCAACGTTCGTAACACGACTTAAAGAGGTATTTTGCGTGAATAGATCAGCTTCAATACCATAAGTTCGTGGCATCCCACTAAACCATAAGGAGCCGTAATTAAACAAAATGTTCTGCCCTACAGACATGGGTGGATTGAAGTTATCTCCCCACCTTCATGTTTGCTGGTCAGTAACGCCACCCTCCCTCCTTTATGTAGAGTCCTTCACATACCTAGGAAGCATCATCGATGAACAAGGAGGCTCAGATGAAGACGTAAAGGCGAGGATTGGCAAAGCAAGGGTTGCATTTATACAATTGAAGAACATATAGAACTCAAAACAACCTTTAACCAATATGAAAGTGAGAATCTTCAATACGAATGTCAAGGCAGTTCTACTGTATGGAGCTGAAACTTGGAGAACTACAACAACCATCATCAAGAAGGTGCAAGTATTGATAAATAGCTGTCTACGCAAGATACTCAAC